CAAAGGAGGTAAAAATCAATCCCTGGAGAAAGGACAGTCTCTTCAACAAATGCTGCTGGGAAAATTGGATCTCCATGTGCAGAAGCATGAAACAAGACCCTTACCTTATACCATATACAAAAATCAACTCAAAGTATTTCAAGGATCTAAATCTATTACCTAATACCACCAATTTACTAGAGGAGAATATTGGGGAAACTCTGCAAGACATTCGTATAGGCAAAGACTCTTAGAAAAGACCCCAGAAGCACAGGAAATCAAAGCCAAAATAGTTGGGATTACATCAAGCTAACAAGCTTCTGTACTGCAAAGGAAACACAACAAATTCAAGAGGCAACAGACAGAATGGGAGAACATATTTGCAAACTATGCAACTGATTAAGTATTAATAAACAGAATCTATAAAGAGCTCAAGAAACTTAACAAAAAAACAAATAATCCAATCTAAAAATGGGCAAAAGACTTGAACATGCATTTTTCAAAAGAAAAAATTCAAATGGCCAACAGACACATGAAAACAAATACTCAGGATCACTAGCCATCAGGAAAATGCCAATCAAAACCACAATGAGTTTCATCTCACCCCGGTTGGAATGGCTCTCATACTGAAATCAACAAACAACAAAAGCTGGTGAGGATGTGGGAGAAAAAGTAACCTAATCCACTGTTGGTGGGAATGTAAACTAGGGCAGCCATTGTGGAAGACAGTATGGAAATTCCTCAGAAAGCTGGAAATAGATCTACCATATGACCCAGCAATCCTACTCCTGGGAATTTACCCAAAGAAAACAGAATCAGCATATGAAAGAGTTATCTGTACCCCTATGTTTATTGCAGCTCAAGAGCTAATTTTATGGAATCAACCCAGATGCCCATCAATCGATGACTGCATTAAGAAAATGTGGCACATATACACTATGGAATATTACTCAGCTGCAGAAGAATGAAATCCTGCCTTTTGCAACGTAATGGATGCAAATGAAAACCATTATACTTAGTGAAATAAGTCAACCCCCAAAAGACAAATATCATGTTTTCCCTGATCTGTGGTAACTCATAGAGTACAAAAAAATTAACATAATTATTTGCATTTAAATCTGCATAAAACTATTCTTGTATATACCTGTTCCTAGGAAATGGTTTACAGTCTGAATGAACTTAATTATCTTACAACCACACAGAACATATGTAAACATTACACTGTCATTGGTTGTATTTCACTGAAAGAAATTATGAATGACTAACCAAAAATACTGAATATGGATGAAATGGTCATGTATATATTCAATTATTGTTTATAGCCATTGTCTGTATTTCCACTAAACTAGGGTCTTTTTGCTCTTATTAAACTTATTTGGTGAAATATCAATCTTTTCACTACAATGTACATTGAAAATATGCTATCTCAAAATTTTGAAAAAAAAAGAAATAAAGGTAAAACAAAGAACGCTGGGAGGGGGGAGGGCAATATCATTATGTTCTTAGACTTGTATCTTCAAATCATTTTGAATCTGTTAAAAATTAACTAAAATAAAAATGAAAAAAAACCAAATGAACAAGTCTACCTCAATAAGTACATATCATAAGATAAAAAACTTTTCTACTTTTCAAAGTTCTCACAACCAACACTATCCTCCACTCAGTAACTGCTGAGAGACCATCAACAGCCCGTGGTCAATGGTTAGTTAACGGCAGAGTGCAGAGATGCAGGGATCCAATTTTCCAGTTTCAGGCTATCTTTGCTTAAGCACAAGCTAACAGAGTAGCAAAGAATTAGCCCAAAAGCCAACAATAAACTTGGGGCTCAGGCCTACACATCTGAGAAGAGACAGCTAGATCTTTGTCTCCACACTGTTTCTCAGTTTACATAAAGTGTGGCCCGAGAGCCCCGAAACCAGCAAAAGGAGCCACAGTGCACACACAAGGGTCTCCAAAATGCTAACCTGGAAAATAAGCATCATGAAAAAACTATGCGTGGATTTCAATTTTTTTTTTTTTTGGCAGCAAAACAAAGTCACCTTTTAATTATGTTTTCCATAAATGTTTTGAAGTACCCTTGTATAATCATGCAGGCATAGACTGTCTAACATTTTTAAGGGGAAAAAGAAAACCCAAACAATAAACATCAGTCATCACAGAACCTACAATACTAAAAATCTAAAAACCTTATATAATCTTTTTTGTAAGGTTATTAACTAAGACAGACAGAAAAAACCCATGTGGTCAAGTTAATTTAAAGAAAGTATTTGACCAAAACTGCAATGTCAAGAAAGAAAAGCTACAAGAGCTTAAAAAATAAACAGGGCTGACCTTTAGAATTCAAGGCAGATGTTTATTCTAAGATAAAGGGTAGCACACGCACGAGGTGCTTTCAGAAATACAGCAATTCAACTCAGTAAGTTCAATGCTTATCACCCAAACTTTAAATGGAAAGTCTAATATTTCACAAGAATACAGAATGATACAGACTTTAGTTAATTTACCTGTATAATCCTTAGTAATAAAAAAGCTATATTATTATAATTTCACCTGCAGCCCTCTTCTTCCTCACAATAATTAAATGCTTCTTATATGTAGTTTTCTCACCAGAAAAAAATCATCACCAGTTCTATGTCAATATCCTAAATTATGAACATTATATTCTTTTTGCTAACCCATGTGCTAAAACCTGTGTCACCAGCTTTGTATGTTATCTCATATTATCCTCATAGAAAACAAGAGGCTGAGTGGGTCACCCAGGTACAAAGTGGCAGTAATTTGACAATGAACTCAAGTTGCAACTGAGACAGTTTCTAGTCGCTGTCTTGTCTCTAATACTAAGTGGCAGACATTCAAGTCATCGGTGAACCAGAGGCGCTCAAGCAATGGGTGGAAGAAAACTCAGGAATACTAAACAGTGTCTTACAGCCCTGTATACATGAAGGGTGAGAGCAACTCCTGGTAGGGGTAAGAAAAAAATATCTTTCCCTGCATAGCACTCTCCAGAAACCACAGGTGGTATCTTCACCTTCTTAGGATGTGAGAAAAGGTATGGGCCTTCTTCCTAGAGATTCAGATCAAAATTCTACATTATTTTAGAAGATGCAGACTCATATAAACCATCAGTATATCTCAGTTCAAAAATTCTCATTTGGAGCCAGTGCTGTAGTAGGTTGGGCCTACTGCTGGCAGTGCCAGAATCCCTTATGAGCACCAGTTCCAGTCCTGGTTGCTCCACTTCTGATCCAGCTCCCTGCTAATGGTCTGGAGAGCACTGCAGGATGGCCCACGTGCTTGGGCTCCTGCACCATGTGGGAGACCCAGAAGAAGTTCTTGGCATTTGGCTTCAGACCAGCCCAGCTCCAGTCATGGCAGCCATTTGGGGAGTTGAACCAGCAGATGGAAGACCTCTCTGTTTCTCCTCTCTCTTTAACTCTACTTCTCAAATAAATAAATCTTAAAAAAAAAAAATTCCCATTTGAGGGGTGGGCGATTGGTGCATCGGTTGACTCACCATTTGGGATACCCACATCCCATGTTAAAGCGCCTGGTTCAAGTCTGGCTGCTCTGCTTCTGATCCAGCTTCCTGCTAATGTACGCCCTGAGAAGCAGCAGATAATGGCTTAAGTACTTGGGTCCTTGACATTCAGATTGGGAGACCAGGACTGAGTTCTAGGCTCCTTGTTTTAGCCAGGCCCAGTTCTGGCTGTTCTGGCCATCTGGGGAGTTAACAAGTGGATGGAATGTCTCTCTCAACCTTTATATGTCTCTCTCTGCCTTTATAATGAAACAAAGAGGGCCGGTATTGTGCTGTTATAGGTTAAGCTGCTGCCTGCAATGCCAGCATCCCATATGGGTGCCAGCTCAAGTCCCAGCTGCTCCACTTCTGATCCAGCTCCCTGCTAATGTGCCTGGGAAAGTAGCAGAAGATGGCGCAAGTGCTTGAGCCCCTGCACCCACATGGGAGACCTGGAGGAAGCTCCTGGCTTCAGCCTGGCCCAGTCCAGGCTATTGTGGACATTTGAGGAATGAACCAGTGAATGGAATATCTCTTTCTCTCTGAATCTCCCTTTCTTTATAACTCTGCCTTTCAAATAAATAAAACAGATCTATAAATATATAAATGAAATTAAAATAAATACTTTTTAAAAATTGCAAATAAGTAAAAAGTCCCATTGATTTGGCTGGAAATTAACAGAATGAGGTTTTAAAAGTACAAACTGACACAAATAAATTTCATTGGAAATTGTTTCAAATGTTAGCAAAGCCCTGCTCACATAGAGAACTTACAGAAGGGGAGCTAGAACTGTGGTGTAGCAGGTAAAGCCACTGCCTGCAATGCTGGCACCCCACATTGGCGTCAGCTGGTGTCCCGCTCGCTCCTCTTGTGATCCAGCTCCCTGCTAATGGCCTGGGAAAGCAGCAGAAGAGGAACCAAGTTCTTGGACCAGTGCCATCAATGTGGGAGACCTGGATGGAGCTCTTAGCTCCTGGCTTCAGCCTGGCTCAGCCACTGCGGCCACTTGGGGAGTGAATCAGTGGATGGAAGATCGATCGATCGCTCTCTCTCTCTCTCTCTCTCCCTCTCTCTCTCTCTAACTCTGACTTTCAAATAAATACATTTTTTTTCTTTTTAGATTTATTTTACTTAATTGAAAGTCAAAGTAAGAGAGAGAGAGAGGGCACCATCTTCCATCGACTGGTTCACTCCCGAGATGGCCACAACAGCCAGGGGAAGTCAGGAGCCAGGAGCTTCTTCCGGGTCTCCCACACAGGTGCAGGGGCCCAAGGACTTGGGCCATCTTCCACTGCTTTTCTAGGCATATTAACAGGGAGCTGGATTGGAAATGGAGCAGCTGGGACTGTAACCTGCACCTGTATTGGATGCTAGAGTTGTAGGTTGTGGGTTAACCTGCTACAGCATAACACCTGCCACACCAAATAAATAAATATTTAAAACAAACAAAAAAAAACTTACAGGTGAAGGGAGGTTTAGGGGCTCCCATTGTTAACACACTTACCGTTTTCCTGTGCAATTCTTGTCATTCAGCCCGCCAACCTTGTTTATGGCAGACCAGGCTGTGAGTGCCACATACGGCAAAGAGGCAGCTTGAGTATGAGTGAGTGACTTGGGCTTGTGAGACACCTAGATTTGAAGACAACAATTGACAATAAGTAACTTGCAAACCAATGAACACAAGTAAGCACGTTTACCTTCAAAGGAATCCAACTGTTTTCACAGGCGAACTTATAAAATTCTTCCGGGTTCAGTGTTTATTTGCACAGCCTACTGCAAGTTTATCCCTAAGCAATATTCTCTAAATAGCTTTCTACCTGCCTCAAAGAGGTCCAGCAATGTTTAGCAAGCTACATTATCAGATATGGCTACTTCATTATTTTTAAAAACACCATACACACTAATCCCATGTAGTCCTGACTACACCAGAAGTAATTCTAAATAAACCTTGAATCCTCATAAACACAATCTAATTTGTTTTTGAGTTCAGTTACCTCCTTTACCCCCCTTTTCTGGAAGGTAAAATTTCTAGCCTTTTGCGTCTCAGTGACACACCTCTTTTCTCTTCTTGCTCCCCTTTCCCTGGCCGGTTTCCTCCATGTGAATCTTTCTCTCTCTTCAGAGTCGGGTCTGACAAATGTGATGGATTCCTGTTTTCACAGTTACTCCCAACAGCTCAGCGCGCCCATGCCCCTGCTCGTGACAGATTCATCCTCTCCACTGGGTATATTTGATTTCAAGCCCACGCTTGGTAAAACCAAGGGTTCTAGATTTCATTCCAAACCCCTGCTCCATTACACAAAGATGACTTCCTTGACAGGCAGTGTTATTTATTTATTGACAGGCAGAGTGGACAGAGAGAGAGAGAGAGAGAGAGAGAAAGGTCTTCCTTTTCCGTTGGTTCACCCCCCAATGGCTGCTGTGGCTGGTGCACCGCGCTGATCCAAAGCCAGGAGCCTGGTGCTTCTCCTGGTCTCCCATGCGGGTGCAGGGCCCAAGGACTTGGGCCATCCTCCACTGCACTCCCGGGCCACAGCAGAGAGCTGGACTGGAAGAGGGGCAACTGGGACAGAATCCGGCGCCCCGACTGGGACTAGAACCCGGTGTGCTGGCGCCGCAGGCAGAGGATTAGCTTAGTGAGCAGTGGTGCTGGCTGACAGGCAGTGTTATTAAAGGACACCAAATACCCTTTTAATCTTCCAAAAATTTCCTGCTCTCCTAGTTCTTTCAAAACTGCCCATAAAACAAGAACCCAATCTGAAAAATCACCAGCGATATCTGTCAGTCTTTGTTTATGCTTTCTAATAGCATTTCAGCAGAGTTGGTGAGTTACCTCATTCCCACTGACGACGACAAACTCTGAGAAAGTGCCTTGTTTCCAAGGAGGGACTGCGGCCCAGACCTGAAACACACATGCAGGCACTTATATTAAAGACATAGATCTTTCCTGTCCAAAGCAGAACATGAAGCCGTTCCCTAACACACACCCAACCCAATGAAAACAGCACAAATCAGCAAAACTGCAAGAAAAGTTATTCCAAGAGGCTGGTTTACGGTGAAGCAGGTAAAGCCACTGCTTGCAATGCTGGCATCCCATATTGAAGCCAAGGTGGGAATTCCAGTTCCAACCCAGCTTCATGTTAATGCTCCTGGGAAGGCAGCAGAGAATATTCCAAGTACTTGGGCCCATACCTCTCATATGGGAGACCAGGATGGAGTTCCTGGCTTCTGGCTTCAGTCTGGCGCAGCCCTGGCTACTGCAGGCATTTCGGGAGTGAATCAGGAGATGGAAGGTGTTGTTCTTCCTCTCTCTCTGTTTGAAAGGCAAAGTTACAGAGAGACTGAGAGAGTGAGTCTTCCATCCACTAGTTTACTCCCCAGTTGGCCACAACAATCTGGCCTAGGCCATGCCAAAGCCAGGAGCCCAGAGCTTCACCCAGGTTTCCCACGCAGGTGCAGGGACCCAAGGTCTTGGGCCATCTTCCACAGCTTTCCCAGGCCATAGCAGAGCTGGATTGGAAGTAGAACAGCCTGGATCTGAACAGGTGCCCATATGGGATGCTGGCACCACAGGTGGTAGCATTACCTGCCACAGCACAGGGCCAGCCCCTAAACCTTTTCTTTTTAAAAAGTTATTTCAAATGATATAAATGTATTGTTTAGTGTGATTCTGGACTTATCAGGTCAAACAAGGCAGAAGCTGATGCCATTATATCCTGGGGCACTTGCAGTACCAGAAACAGCAGTCTCTGGGTTCCACTTCTGGCTACAGCGCTGGCTAGCTGGGGGACTTTACAGTTTGGCTTTCTCATCTGTAAACTGTCTTGGCTGCACCTACTCCGTAGGGATTGAGTGAGCTTTTTTATGAAAAGCAATCCAAACAGTGTTAGAAATTTTTATGAGCTCACTATAATCTCTTGGCACAAAAGTTTAACATAGCAAGTGACAGGTGATTATAACAATCAGCTATTTTAAAACCACGTAACCCTTAATGTAGCCATTGTCATTTAAAGGCTCAAGAAAAATAAAAGTCTCAATTCTACATATCTTGATGTCTTACAGTTCTGAACCACTAAATTCAGAAAACTCCAGTACTATCAAGTTGGTTTGGAATCGTTGGTGAAAAAAAGGAACAGAACCAAAACCATGAGAGGGTTCCAGCCAAAGCTCAGTACACATGCTGAAAGGCATAAAGGCCACTGGCACAGAACAAACTTCCAAATACCGTGGAATGAGGGTTCCACGTCTTGAGAAGGAACAGCATATCTCCCAACTCACCTCATCTCCAGGCTTGAAGTACTTCACATCCAGCCCACACTCCATCACCACTCCGGAGACATCCCGCCCCAGGGTCAGCGGAAACTCTTCCCCTTTGGTTTTAATGTGTAAAGGATCCCGCTTCATGTTTAACGCCGTAGCTCCATAACCACCTAAGAAACACCATGATCAGTTTCCTCCAGGAAAGAACAGAATGACTTTAAAATCCCTATAGAATCATAGGTCAGGTTCAAGAAGCAGATTATAAACAAGCAACCTTTTTTAAAAAAAAAGATTTATTTATTTATGTGAAAGAGTTACACAGGGAGAAAAGGAGAGGCAGAGAGAGAGAGGTCTTCCATCTACTGCTTCACTCCCCAAGTGGCTTTAACAGCTAGAGCTGTGCCAATCTGAAGCCAGGAGCTTCTTCTGGGTCTCCCACATGGGTGCAGGAGCCCAAGGAGTTGGGCCATCTTTCACTGCTTTTCCAGGACATAGCAGAGAGCTGGATCAGAAATGGAGCAACTGGGACTTGAACCAGCGCCCATATGGGACGCCGGCACTGCAGGTGGCGACTCTACCTGCTATGCCACAGTGCTGGTCCCAAAACAACCAATCTTATGATCTTTTCCCATCACGGGGTAAAGCATGAAAACTTTGAGTGTTGTCTTTTCAAAGAAAATTACTTGGAAAGTCTCAACCTCTTCTTATCTACCTAAAGCCATCACTGTGCTCAGAATGTTTTTGAAATTCAGATTTTGAAACTGTCTTCAGGACTTTTAGCATTGTCTTTTATGTAGTTTTATTTGTTCTTAGAAGATGCTTCTTTATTAATTTATTCACACATGAACTTTATAAGCAAAGATATCTGGTGTCAAGTCTGGAAAACAAGATAAATGTTAAAGCTGTTGGAAGTTAATGAATAAATCAACAAGGGATGGATATAAAGTACTCGATATTGACACTGGTCTATGTGTTAACAGTCCCCACCTAATTTAAAAACGAAGTTTCTAAAAAGCAATTTTGCTACATAGATTCCTGAGTGGAAAAGAGCCACTTGACTGTAACTGATCTGATGTTACATGAGGTGAATTGCTTTACTGCACTTTTTTTTTTTTTTTTTTTTGGACAGGCAGAGTGGATAGTGAGAGAGACAGAGAGAAAGGTCTTCCTTTGCCTTTGGTTCACCCCCCAATGGCTACTGCGGCCAGTGCACCATGCTGATCCAAAGCCAGGAGCCAGCTTCTTCTCCTGGTCTCCCATGGGGTGCAGGGCCCAAGCACTTGAGCCATCCTCCACTGCCTTCCCAGGCCACAGCAGAGAGCTGGCCTGGAAGAGGAGCAACCGGGACAGAATCCGGCGCCCCGACCGGGACTAGAACCTGGGGTGCCAGCGCCACAGGCAGAGGGTTAGCCTATTGAGCCGCGGAGCCTGCCTGCACAAATCTTTTTTATTTAAAGGGCCAGAGTTGTAGTGCAGAGTTGTAGTGCTTGCGACACTGTGCCAGTTCGCGGCCTTGCTGCTCTATTTCTGACCCATCTCCTTGCTAATACATCGAAGGAGACAGAGATGGCCCATGTTGGGGGCCAGGACAGAGTTCTTGGCTCCTGGTTGTTGCCCAGCCCAGACCTGGCTGTTGCAGACATTTGGGGAAGGAACCAGTAGATGAAGATCTCTAAATAAATTTTTAAAAAAGGGGGGGCGGGGAATGCGGTGCCAGCATCCTATATGGGTGCCAGGTTCTAGTCGCGGCCGCTCCTTTTCCAATCCAGCTCTATGCTATGGCCTGGGAAAGCAGTAGAAGATGGCCTAAGTCCTGGGGCCCCTGCACCTGCGTAGGAAACCTAGAAGAAGCTCCTGGCTCCTGGCTTTGGATCGGTGCAGCTCTAGCGGTTGGCAGCCATTTGGGGAGTAAAACAGCAGATGCAAGACCTCTTTCTCAGTCTCTCCTTCACACTGTCTGTAACTCTACCTCTCAAAAGAAAAAAAAAATTGTGTGTGTGTGTGTGTGTGTGTGTGTGTAAGACAGAGACTGTCTTTCAAATAAATACATCTTGAAGGAAAGAATGTCAAATGCTGCTAACAGGGAAGACAGGTTTTTTCAATTAAAAGCTGCTGAGAGACTAAAAAAAAAAAAAGAACAAAAAACTGGATCCGACAAAAGCAACACCTTTCGTGACCTTGACAGTGACAGTTCCTGTGGCATGGTGTGCTACAGAGGGAATAGGAAACAAGGAATTGGTGACCATGAGAAGATTCAAGTCTTTCAAAGAAGGGAAACAGAGAAACGGAGTAGCAGCTGGACAGGACAACAGAGCCTGAGAAATCAGTTTTCAGTGGCTTTGTTTTAAGAGGGTAGAGATAACAGCAAATGTCTGTTAAGGGAAATAATCCTTTAGGAAGAAAAATACCGACGATGCAGGAGAGAAGTGCAGCAATGACAGGCCAGAGTGGTGGGAGGGGATGGAGTCAAGAACACGAGTGGAGTGGAGGGTGGGCCTCAGAGGAGAGCAACAACACCGCTCCACAGAGCAGCAGGCGAGGCAGAGCACACACGGACAGATGCAGACAGGAGGGGAGCTTGCAGAAGCCCTTTTTCTCATTAAAAAAGAAAAAAATCAAGACTCAGAGAAAGTCAAAGTTGAGATGGTCCCATAGAATTCAGGCCAATGGCCACGATGCCAACATCACCCGTTTACTATCTGGCTCGTGAGGACGGCACTCTTTCAGGGAAGAAAACAACTTCACACGTAACACTCACCAAAGTCGGATATGTCCCCTCCCCTGCCTTCCATTCCTTCTCTACAGCTAAAACATATGCCATCATTCACTGACACCCCTAGGAGGTTTGGGCAACAGAAGCAGGTAGGTAGCCATGTCAAATTTTAGCTACTGTTTCAGGGTGGCAAAAAGGTTTCAGTCCCCTTTGAAGTGCAGAACACACTTGCTCAAGGTTGTTTTAGAGCAGCTTTCTTGAGCATCATGAAACACTAACACATCACAGATACCATCTAAACTAGCTCCAAATCCAGAATGCAGCTGGCTGCTAGCTAGTCACTGAGAATCTGCTTAGCGACACTAAGGAATGGGCCCTGTGGAGTTTCCATCCCAAGGATGGAGGCTGCCACTTTGATTTGTTCAGAGAGTTGAGCTGATTAGGGAAATCCTAAATCTGTCATCAATTTCAAAGACTTTCATCCCATCTAAGAACACCAAGCTTTCTTGGTATAATGCTGTTGGCTGTATTTTTCTTCCTACTTTTAAAATTATTCATTGCTTCGGCCACTTCCATGATTTGTTATTTTGCGTCAAATGGTAATAGCCATCAGAAAAACAGCCAGCCTTCATCTTTCAAAACAAAGCAGACATGTCTCTTATTTTCTTGCCAAGGGAAATAACAGCTTCTGAAAATTTACAATCTTTTACTCATTATTTTATTTCCCCAAGCTATCATTGCAGAAATCTTCTGCAACAACAACATACATTCTCAAAGAGAATCCATGGGCAGGGGGGAAAAAAGAGGATGACTTACAAATCTTACCCACATCATTAAAAAAAGAAAAACCTAAGATGTCTCAAGAACACCACATAAAAGCAAAACATTATATTAATAAACAGTAGACCAGACGCAGCCATTCTCCCAAAATAAATATATATATACAGGAGCAGGTGGGTGTTGTAGCCCAGTGTGTTAAGTTGCTGCTTGGGAGGCCCACATCCTGTATCAGAGCTCTGTTCTGGTCCTGGCTGCTCTGCTTCCAATCCAGCTCCCTGCTAACGTGCCAGGGGAGCAGCGGATGATGGCCCAAGTGACTGAGTTCCTGCCACCCACATGAGTGGAATCTCTGGCCCCTGGCTTTCGTCCAGTCCAGCCCCTGCTGCTGTGATCATCTGGGGAGTCAACCAGTAGATGGAAGATCTCTGTCACTCTGCCGTCAAATAAAAAATGAAAGAAAAAAAGGTACACAACACAAACTGTAGAGTATATTCAAAAAAAATAAAAGTTGACAGATCGGGCCGGCGCTGCGGCTCACTAGGCTAATCCTCCGCCTTGCAGCGCCGGCACACCAGGTTCTAGTCCTGGTCGGGGCGCCGGATTCTGTCCCGGTTGCCCCTCTTCCAGGCCAGCTCTCTGTTGTGGCCCGGGAGTGCAGTGGAGGATGGCCCAAGTCATTGGGCCCTGCACCCCATGGGAGACCAGGAGAAGTACCTGGCTCCTGCCATCGGATCAGCGCGGTGCGCCGGCCGCAGAACGCTGGCCACGGCAGCCATTGGAGCGTGAACCAACAGCAAAGGAAGACCTTTCTCTCTGTCTTTCTGTCTACTCTGCCTGTCAAAAAAAAGAAAAAAAAAAAAAAAAAGTTGACCGATCTACTAGAAGACAAAATGTAAAAATTACTCATAGATAAGATATGCATTCTTCTCATTTAAATTTGTAATCAGAAGTCAGAATGAAAATACAAAATGGCATACAAATGACTGACAACCAAATATGTGCAGCACTGAAAGAGGCTGACAAATCGTGGAATCACTCTTCAAAGAGCTTACGATCAACAGAGAGGAAAAACACCAACCACTGAGTACAACCTACCACTTGAAGACATATTATATAAAGACTAAATTATCTTGAAGCCAATGTAAAAAGAATAAAGGATGCCAGGCATCTGTGTAGCCCACATTCCATGTTGGAGCGCCCGAGTTTGACTCCCTGCTCCACGTTAATGTACACTGAGAGGCAGCAGGTGATGGCTTCAATAAGTGGATCCCTGCCACCCAAGTGGGAGACCTGGATTAAGTTCCTGGCTCCTGTTTCAGCCTGTCCCAGCCTTGGCTGTTGCAGGCATTTGGGGACTGGACCAGCAGATAGGAGATCTTTATCTGTCTCTTGGCCTTTCAAATAAATAAAATAAATTCTCAAAAAATAAACTAAAACAACACCCTCAACTTCAAAAGAACACATGTGGATTTCATGAGACAATCATAGTAAAGTCATTTCAAATCATTCTTAATAGAACCTTATAGTCACAAATACCTTAAGACTCCCGAGTCTTTCCCCAAACCTCTTTCCCTAAAGAAATGTGTAATAGCTACTCCACTATATTGACCAGGCAAGTGCTGTCCAGTAGAAATAAAATTCAAGCCTCACATGCCATTAAAAATGTCCTAGTAGCCATTAAAAAGATTAACAGATACAAGTGAAATTAATTTAATTTACTTGCTATATCCAAAATATTATCCTGTCAACAAGCACAACATGAAATTTTTAAAAAGACACTTCACATTCTTTTTTCTTTGAAATTGATTCTGTATTTTATACTAACTGCTCATCTCAATCAGGCTAGCCAAACTGCAACAGCATAACACCCACATGTGGCTAGTGGCTACTACACTGAACAGCATAGGTCTAGATACACAGCAGCACTCAAAATTGGAGTCCATGGAGCCAATGCAGAAGTCTCCCAGTTTGGTACAACCTCAAAATCTTTGCAAATAATTTAAGAGTTCCTTTCTTTTCCAACAATCTATCGATGTGGGGCTGGCTTTTCATTAATTCAAACAACACACTGCAACAGACTGAAAACAGAACATATGCAAACCAAGGGCTGAGCGTTCGGCCTAGCAGCTAAGACATGAGTTGAAGGGGCCTGGCATCATGGCTTAGCAGGTAAAGCCACCACCTACAGTGCTGGCTCCCATATGGGCACCAGCTCAAGTGTTGGTTGCTCCACTTATTTTTTTTAAGATTTTATTTATTTGAGAGGTAGATTTACAGAGAGAGGGAGAGAGGGAGAGGAGAGAGACAGAGAGAGAGAGAGAGAGAATGAATCTTTCATCTGCTGGTTCACTCCCCAAATGGCTGGCATGACTGGAGCTGGGCCGGTCTGAAGCTAGAAACCAGGAGCTTCTCCCAGGTCTCCCACATGGGTGCAGGGCCCCAAGCACCTGGGCCATCTTCCACTGCTTTCGCAGGCCACGCCAGAGAGCTGGATGGGAAGAGGAGCATTCAGAACACGAACTGGCACCCATACATGATGCCAGCACTGCAGGAAGAGGCTTAGCCTACTACGCCACAACACTGGCCCCTAATCCACTTCTGATCCAGCTCCCTGTTAATGTGCCTGGGAAAGCAGTGGAGGGGGGCCCAGTGCTTGGAACGCTGCATCCATGAGGGAGATCAGCATGAAGCTCCTGGCTTCGGCCTGGCCCAGTCCTGGCTGTTGCGGCCATCTGGGGAGTAAACCAGCAGATGGAAGACCTCTCTCTTTCTCTAACTCTGATTTTTGAGTAAGATATATCTTAAAAAGAACAACAAAAAAAAAGGACACAAGTTAAGAAACGTACATCCCATACTGAAGTACCTGGGTTAGAGTTCTAGCTCCAGCTCCTGATTCCAGGTTCCTGCCAAGGTAGATTCTGGGCAGCAGCAGGTAGATGGGGCCCTGCCACCACACTGGGTGTGTGGGTCGAATTCTGGGCTGGCTTTGGGGAGGGCCCAATCCTATCAATTCTGGCATTTAAGGAGTGAATCAGCACATGGGAGCTCTCTGTATCTGTCTCCGTCTCTCAATAACCTTCAAAATCCAGTTGCCTTCGATAGCAAAAGGCCATGTAGAAGTGTAAAATGATGCTAAATTTCTTTTTCCTTACTTTAGAAAAGTTATTTTTCATTGTAAGTTCTTTGAAGGTAAATCCCTTGCTCTATCAGTTACTATTTAAGTATTTCACATATTTGTGTCTCTCAGTCATCATATTTATTTCATTTTCTATTTTTCTCCTTTTGTGATTTGTAATGTTATACAAAGGAGGTTTACTATATTTTTAAATAACATTTTAAATTTTGTTCTAACTTTAAAAAGGTAAATATCAACAGCTACAGTTCATATAAAAGTCCAGTAACTTAGGAGAGCAAAGAGGTCTTGAAACCAAAAAAAATGAGAATTACTATCCTAATATATCATACTACATATGCAAAAAGAATGAGAAGGAAAAAAGTCAAAGTCTCAACATTTTCATACTTAAAAATTGCACAAAAATGGTTCATTCTATCATTACTTAATTTTGTAAGTGGATATACATATATAAGCAAAGAAATTAAATTCATCACACACAAGTCATAAATGAGAATTGCTACTGAGGTTATCAGTTGACTTTAACATATAAGCCCTTCTTCACAACGCTGACCCATAATTAAGTTAAAATTCTACAGCAGTTTACTTGCAACACAGGTTACCTGACCTGTGACTAACATGGAGGTTAATAATCCCAAAATATGCTTTTCAATTTCTTCAAGAGACATGGATGAGCTACCACAAGCAAGACTGATACTGTTTTTGTCAATTTTTTCCCAAAGTTATTCACAAATACTAATCAGTTTATCACCATATATATGTGTGTGTGTGTGTGTGTGTGTGTGTAGTGCTTCTAACCTTTGCCAATATTCTCCAAGAGAAAGAATATTATTCCCATTTAGGATGGAGTATAACTGATGTGCAAACATAATCATACCTCTAAAACTTGCACCTCAGAATCAGGGTACACCAGAAAGGCAGCAGTAGACAAAACTCTTAAGTCCCAATCTACGTATGTCAACTGCTGAGGGCAGAATACAACAGCACAGAAGAGGAAAGTACAAGGAGTCTTCAAAATTTCATGGAACACGTGTATTAAGAGAATTATGTATTTCAAACAATTTTTACCCCAAAATAAGCATCATTTAATGTCATTTTTCCAGAAACATTAAGTACACTCATATCATGAACATATCCTAGAGTCTTGTTCTGCTGCTTTGTCTACTAGACCAATAAAGGATCCTATCAGTAAGAAGAGTGCAAAAAAGGGCAGGGATTGTTATGAAAATGCAAGTTCTTAGCTGACACACAAACAATCATACGTTCAAAGCTTATACCTCAGAATGATGGTTCTCAGAGGATCACAAAGTTTCCAAGAAAGCACACCAGAAAGTTAGGGGCAGACACAGCTCTAAAGCTCCAATTTATATATGAAAGCTGCATGTAAATACAACCTCTATTTTGTAAAAGACACCTCAACCACTGCAACTTAAAACTTTTTGGAAATATTTACAGTGGTACAGTCAAAAATCTGTGTACCAACCAAAGAAGGTTAAGCAAATACCAATCAATTTTTACAAACTGCATGCATTACGATTAATAAAAGAGGTAATGAAGAATGTCTTTAAAACTTACTTCTCATATTAACATCTATAGGGTTTACACTCGCGGCATGGACTTTGATAATGACTTCATTTGGATAGTGTATGATGGGTATCATCATGTTCTGAGTGAATCGCAACACTTCATTCTTCCCATATTTATCTATCACCCAAGCGGGCATGACAGTGCTCTTTGGCGAGGTAGTGCTGATCTTTCTAACTGAAGGCCTTTGTGCAATTTTGCTCCTCCACAAGTAAGCCGCAGTACATGCATTTCTTCTAAGCACACAAGTCTTCAGAAATTCCATCGTAAACAGTGACCGGATTGCGTGCCCCAATCAACGTGCACTCGGATTGGATCACACTCTCACCCCTGAATTCGGTCAAATTTCTTCACACACACTAAAAACGACTTCCAAATTGAGCGTTCGAAAGTGCGGTTAACCCGACGCAGCAACCAAAGGAAGAACGTGGAAATTACTATTCTCTAGGTTTCCGAACCGCTCCAATTAACCTTCCAGTCAGGATTCTGTCCATTCCCCCTCCCTTCCCTACACACCACTCCCCTTCAAAAAACACAAACACACAAGCAGGTGTGTGAAAACACCCCGGCCCCCGGCCCTGTCCGGGGAGCTCTTGGCAGAACTAGCACACAGCTCGCGACCCCGACGCCCCTGAAACTCCCACGCCTAAAAAACTCCAAATGCTACCCTAGCCCGGAGTCTCCTTGCCTGCCCGCTCTTCATTTCCACCGGGGCTTTGCGGAGCCAGCCAATCGCGTGCAGAGATCATTCCCTGTGGGCTGCGATTTGACCAATCCAAGGGCTCGGTGTTGAAGGGTCCGTGATGAGCCAAGATGGCTGCGCCCGTGTAATCCAGGCGGCGGCCGCTGACCTTTTTTTCCTCCCTGTCACCTGGCCCCTGGGGTGGTAAGCTGAGCACGAGGACCATGCTGGGCCGGACTCTCCGAGAAGTGAGTGAAATTGGCCTGCTGAGGGCCCCGGGAGGGCGGAAAGATTCGCGGGCGCCGTGCACAAGGAGTGCCCCCCGCCCCTGACCCTCCCACCTTGGTCCACCTCATTACATCCTTCCCTCCGGCCAGTCGGGAGTCCGAGCTTCGCGGAGCTGTAGGGTGGAAGGTCCATCCATTCCCACTAATCGGCGATTAGACTTTAGCTCTGGCTGTGATAGGGCATTGGAAGGGGGGCTTTGCCACGTCAGGGTTTGGCTTGCTCATTTCCATCTCTTCTGTCTCAGCTGATGAGTTCTTGCAGCCGGGCTTGGCAATAGCTTACAAAATCCAAAAAAGTAATTTTTAGCTTTTTGAAGAAAATTCATTCTCTAAGATGCTACTTTTTCCCAACCCGTGTCGGTTTCCTAGACATCATTTTTGAACCTGAGGCTGCATTTGTCCCTTTCAGATGCCCTCTAAGTCCCTCAAAGTCACTTTAACCAAGTTGTAATCATTATAACAGGACTACTACTCATCTTAATGGCAAAGTTATTATCCCATTTGTCCTTAGATTCTTCATCTTTCCTTATGCATTAAATCACTACGTCCTATTAATTCTGTTTTAGATATGGCTGGACTCGTCTCTCACTTCATTCCTGCTCTTACCGTTTTATTTTAGGTCTGCTTGCTTTCTAATCGAGTTCACTCAACCTTTAGCACGTCTGCAGGCCCACTGTTATAGGAATCACCTGGGATCTTTGTTAATTTCAACCACATCCCACTCTAGACTTAATCAGACACTGGTGCTCCAGGTGATTTCTGGAGATTAACATCGATTTACAACCTGCCCTGCTTTCCATCTTCCTTTTGCATCTACACCTGGGAGGTCTCCCGCATCTCCAGCTACCAGCCTTTTACGTTATAATGCAAACTTTAAATCCACAGGCCTTAAATAACATAGTTCCTCCCAAAATACATTATTATTTTACCATCTTAAATTGCATCCTATACATACTTTTAGTGAAAAATCAATGTTTTTTTTTAAATACCCAGGATTTGATTTGAATACAACCAATAAAAATGTGACATATTGTTTCCCTTTTCTGCCTTTCCTCCCTAAGCACAATCATATTTGTGTTACCCTTTTCTATGTTGAGTGAGCCATTGTGAGAAACCACTTTTGCCTCATGGAGGGAAACATTTAGGAGACCTGACCCAAGGGAAGACCAAGGAGTTGCCTTGACATGACTGCTTTCACTTAATCACTCCTTTAACAAAGATTGATTCATGCCTACTGGGCGGAAAGTATTATTTGTTGATTGTTTTCCCTGCTCAAATCTACTCTCTTTTTTATTTCACATCCCAGTACTGGTACCTTAGATTCTGTCAGTTGGAGGTTAATTCAGTACACATTCTCTTTTAGATACATACAGATGCCTGGGAGGGTTGAATGACTTGTTCTCCCACTGTTGTGAATGACAAATTTCTCTCCATAACACCATAGCTGAGATAATCATTTGAAGAAATGGAAAATTTGCTGGGGAAGAACTTAAGGGGAGGGATTGGAGACTCTGGACATGTAAGGCAATTTGGGGGACATCAGTGGAGGCTTAGGACAACAGAAAGCCCAGAGAAGACTGAAAGGAGATAAATGCCAAATGAAATAAAACCCCTGTTTGTACATTTTATCCAGGTATTTTCAGGGAAGAGGAGGCATCGCACACCTTTCTCTGCTGTGGCATGATCCCAGTGTTCGTAGGAGGCAGACACCAGACTAATAGTGTAAATCCTAAAGTTCAACCAATGATATATTCAGTTGACTTCTTGGGAGTCTAAGCTGATTTGTTCTATAGGAAAATAGATTCCAAATTTTAGACAATTCAGTTCTTCACTCACCTGGCGTTTATTGAGTTCCTCCGTGTTCCAGGCACTGGGGATTAGCACTGAAGACAGAAGCACCTGCCCTCATGAAACCTACAGGTTTTTGTTTTTTGGGAAAATAGGCATTAAGTAACTTTTAAAAAGTAAAATAATACAACTTCAGGTAGTTTTATAATGAAAAATTCAGCCATGAGAACTAGTTGGGGAGGAGCTGGGTGTTTTAGTGTGGTCAGGGAAGGTTTTTCTGAATTGATTGGGTGATATTTAATAGAGACAGGAAGGATATGGGTAGTGACCCCTCCGGGGAGAGTGTTCCAAACAGAAGGAAGAGTAATCCTGACATCAAGGAGTAGTAAGAAGGCTGGCACGGCCTAAAGAGAAGTCAACGAGGAGAGTCTTGGAACACAAAGTTAGAGATGGGCAGGAGTCAGATCATAGGGTACCTAATAGGCCATAGGAAAGAATGTAGATTTTATCCTAAGTATAATGGGAGCCTCTAGAAAGTTTTGTGTTGTGGACATGGTCTGATTTAATATTTTAAAAGCTTCTTTAGGTTATTCTTAATGGCTGTAGTCTATGGGAAAGCAAGTGAGGAAGCAGGAAGATGTGTTAGAAGGCTGTTTCGAGGGCAAGAGGTGATGGCAGTGGATCAGGTGGTAGCATAGAGGAGCTGCAAGTGAGAACTGTGTTTTACATCGTGGCTTGCGGATGGGCCGGATGTGGACGTGTCAGGAAAGAGAAGAAGCAAAGAAGATGTTTAGATCTGGAGCCTGGGTAATTGGGGAAGTGATAACATTTGTCAAGATGGAAAAGACTAATGGAAGCATGTTTGGAAGGAGGCGGTTATCACGAGTTCTGTTTTGGACATGTAAAGTTTTTAAAAAAGATGTATGTATGTATTTATTTGAAAGGCAGAGTAACAGAGAGGGAGGGCAGGAATGAAAAAGAGATCTTCCATCTGCCAGTTCACTTCCCAAATGCTTGCAACAGCCAGTTTAGACCAGGCTGAAGGTAGGAGCAGGGAACTCCAGCTGTGTCTTCCACTTGGGTGAGAAGGAATCAAGTCCTTTCCATCAGCTGCCTTGCAGACATATAAGCAGGAAGCTGCACCAGATGCACAGTAGATGTGACATGAACTGGGCACGCTGATATGGGATGCAAGTATCCCAAGCAGTGGCTTAACATGCTATGCCACAGTGCCAACCCCTGGACATAATATTCAGATGCCTCCTAGATACCCAAGTGAAGGTGTCATTTAAGCAGATTAGAGCTGAAGAAAGAGGGTAGATACGTGGGTATGAGTTAGCCACAGGACTGTGTTTCCTCTAGATCTTGTATCTATCCTCTGTCACTCTCATTGATTGTTGGCAGAATGTTTCCATTGGTTGAGGAACACAGGTCCCTGTTCTCTTGCAGGGCGAGTGGGTAGTTATGTCAATGAGCCCGGGAGCAAGAGATGGGGGATGGCTGGAATTGAGACTTGGGAGATTTTGTGGACATTGGTAACGATGAAGTCTTTACTACGACCAGGTGAGTTGGTAACTTGCATGAAGTAAAGGGAAATCAGATGCAGTGTTCAGTGTACTTGGCCTTGGAGACGGAAGTGAATGAGAATGACAACAGGAGCAGTACTAATGAAGATGTAAGCTAGGTGCTGAAATCTTCAAGGGATGAAAGGGAACACCAGGGAGAATTTGCTAATCCTCTCTGGAGCACAGGCTTCTGGTGAGTTGCGATTTTTGAGAGAAGAGAAAGGCACTGACACCTGATGGCACACACTTCCTCTCCCACTGGCCTCTGTGATACATGGTAGCAGGGAGCTAACACAGGAGAGGCATGGCTCCCCAGGAAAGCCTGGTTGCTATCTCAGAACAGAAGTGCCAGGAGCAGAGTTTTTGTTTGGTTTGTTTTTTTTTTTTAAACAATAACTTATAAAGTTTAATTTTATTTTGGATTTTAGATATGACACCTGCAGTTTTGTCCCCCGGGGAGCTGTACAATTTACATTTCATGTTCCTTCTGCTCAGGATATCCCAGCTAATTAGCATGTTTGTTTTCACTTCTGTTTTCCAATTCCCTTATTGACTTTCTCAAATCTCGACTTCCTGAAAATGGTCCTCCTGAAGATCAGCACCGTAGAAACTGAGGGCTCCTACCCTTCTCCACCACACTTGTCACTCCTTAGCTCTAGCCGTGTGCCACACCAATTGGCAAGTCAGAGAGCACCCAGGGGATTGTGGGCATTACAGGACTTGAGGGGTCAAAAACAAGAAAAAAAAGTGGCAGACACAATTTTCCTCACTATTGCAACTTACTTTATTTGACAGGTAGAGTTATAGACAGTGAGAGAGACAGACAGACAGAAAGGTCTTCCTTCCATTGGTTCACTCCCCAAATGGCCACTATGCCCATTGCTGTGCTGCTCCGAAGCCAGGAGCCAGGTGCTTCTCCTGGTCTCCCATGCGGGTGTAGGGGCCCAAGCACTTGGGCCATCCTCCACTGCCCTCCTGGGCCACAGCAGAGAACTGGACTGGAAGAGGAGCGGCCGGGACTAGAATCCGGCACCCATATGGGATGCCAGCACCACAGGCAGAGGATTAACCAAGTGAGCCACAGCGCCGGCCCCCGTTATTTCAACTTTGCCATGGGATACATATGCCTATCTTTGGGGGTACTTCAAAATATTCATGGAATAATTGGATTAAAAGATAAACTTATGCCGGCGCCGTGGCTCAATAGGCTAATCCTCTACCTAGCGGCGCCAGCACACCGGGTTCTAGTCCTGGTCGGGACGCCAGATTCTGTCCCGGTTGCCCCTCTTCCAGGCCAGCTCTTTGTTGTGGCCCGGGAGTGCAGTGGAGGGTGGCCCAAGTCCTTGGGCCCTGCACCCCATGGGAGACCAGGAGAAGCACCTGGCTCCTGGCTTTGGATCAGCGCAGTGCGCTGGCTGCAGCGCGCTGGCCGCGGCGGCCATTGGAGGGTGAACCAATGGCAAAAGGAAGACCTTTGTCTCTCTCTCTCACTGTCTACTCTGCCTGTCAAAAAAAAAAAAAAAAGAAAAGAAAAAAAAAAAGAAAAAGAAAAAGATAAACTTATTTAGGTGAACATTTTTAAAGAATATGCATAGTTTTCCCATAATACACACTTGCCATGACCTTTTTAAAGACCCCTCATATGCATAGATTTCAAAAAATTTTTGCACCCAAAGAAACTTACCTTTTATTTCCATTTTTCCATGAGCATTTTCAAGTGCCCTCTAGCATTGGGTTTTTGCTAGTTCCAGGTGTCTTCTACATTCTTCCCACTCAGTATTGACAATATTAGAATATACTGTTATTCTTTTATTTCTGTCTAGTGCCTTTCTTCTGAAAAGTTTGTATTTCATGCAAACCATTCAGCAGAAAGTGCTCTTCTTGCTTTTAAGTCACCTCCTTGAAGGCAAGCCTCACTGCCCCATCCCACCACTGAGCCACTCCCTCAGCCTCCCCCATGGACATGCTGTTCCTCCTCGTTTGTGAACATTAGGGGTCCTCTTAATGGCCTCTTCCCACTGCTTTTCTCTTTGGAAGCCCTCAGCGCTGAGAACACCATGGCTTTGATGATTTATTTAGTAGTCAAGAGCAGATCACGTGCAGATTTTCCCTGCAAGTGCAAACTCCTGTTGTTTGATGCATATGGGACATGTTAACCTAAACTAGAGGACAAACTAAGTGTCCCGTAGAGTGGAGCCAGAAATGGTGAGGGGCCTGTGTTATGAAGTCACCCTTTACCACTTGTGTGGTTTTGGAAAACTCACCCTCTCTGAACTTCACTTTCTTTATCTGTCCAATGAGGTTAATAGTACCTAAAGTTTAGTGGTTGCTTTAAGGGTTAAATGAAATAGTGATCCATGTAAAGCTACAATACCTGGTTCTTGGTAAATAATAAATATTGTTCCCTCTCCTACTCACTTTGTCTCTGAGTTCCCTTCATAAAGTTTATGGAAAATGGGGGTGGGCATTTGGTGTGGTGAAGATGCCTCTTGGGAAGGCTGCATCCCATAGTGGAGTGCTGGTTTAAGTCCCAGCTCTTCTTCTGATCCCAGCTTCCTTCTGATGTGCACCCTGGGAGACAGCAGGTGGTGGGTCAAGTTCTTGGGTCCCTACCACCTTCCTGGGAAACCAGGATTGAGTTCCTGGCTCTTAGCTTCAGCTTTGTCCAGTCCCAGCCATTGTAGGCATTTAGGAATTGAACCAGTGGGTGGAAGATCACTATCTGTCTCTGTTTCTCTTTCTGTCTCTCTGCCTTTCAAACAAAATTAAAAACAAAAAGTAATTTGAAAAGTTTATGAAAAATAGAATTAAAACCCAGCATCGCAGGTAGTGGCTTTACCCACTATGCCACAATGCCAGCCCCCAAACCCAAAGTTTTTTTAAGTTCATGGAAAATGCATATTTTGAGAAATATGCAAGAATTTCAAAAATTATTTTACACCAAAATAAACATCTTTTAATTCTGTTTTTCATGAACTTTTTGAATTACCCTTGTATGATCTCTAGAGTTTTGGTGTCATCTTTGATTTCTTGTTATTCATTCCTTTTATCTGATTAGTAAGTATGTAATATTACTTCCTACAGGAAATAATAAACAGTCATCATTTTTATCTTAGACCTTCTTATCAATATGAAGGTTCTGGTCACTTATCATGCAGTTGATTTTCAACCCTTTATTTAACCTTCCTAATGTATCAAAGGCAGAATTTCAGAAGTTTGAGTTGCTTTTGAACCTATATCTTATAAGTATCTGTCTCAGTTCATTCCATGATAGGTATTGAAGACCTGAGAGCATAAAATTTTGCAGTGCTTTTCCCAATCCATTTCTCTTTTTCACCCTGGACTGTCTGTGTTTTATCTAAGCTATCCTCTGTACATAATCTGCCCTAACCCACTCTTCACCTAGGCTGGGCCTCAGCTCCCACTGGAGAGGCTACTTTACCTAAACTGTTGCTACCGTTTGTTCAAGCCTTCCTGAGAAACAGAAAGTTAGCTTGGGAGAAAAACATTCTGTTCTCCAACCTGTCCTCAAGCCTTCCCCTTCATTCAGTCTGCTATCTAAGAGTAGGGCTAATAGGTTCTCTTAATTTGAACCCAAGCCTCACTTCAGAATTTTTTATTTGGCCACAGTATTGCCTGCCTTGGGCATAATATGGGAAATTTGTACAGCCTCAGTAAAAGGTTTTGAATTGGATCTGCTATAGGTTTCTGTGGCACTGAAAAGAGGCCAGGTTACACCCACAGAGCTCTGTCAGAAATGCCTCGCCCTTATCCAGAAGACCAAGTTTCTAAATGCTTACATTACTGTATCGGAAGAGGCGGCCTTAAAGCAAGCAGAAGCATCGGAGAAAAGATATAAGAAAGGTACGTTGCTTTTCATTATACTCCACAGTTACGCTTGTTTCTCCAGAGAAAGAATTTAATTGGATGTAGCAGTCTCCATTTGGCAAGTGAAGCTTAACACATAAAACATACCCTTATTTAAAGAACTTGCCATGAAGTATAATACAAGTGAGGCTAATGGATATGTGATGCTTGAGAATATCCAACTCTAATATGTTCTAGCATAAATTCGATTTCTGAAGAAGTATCTTTGCCAAAAACTAGAAGCTATTGTAATAACTGGTAATAATATGTCTGTCTATTTTGAACCATTATCTCCTATGTCTCTCTTTTGGCTTTTTAATGCAGGCCAGTCACTGGGAGACTTAGATGGAATTCCTGTTGCAGTGAAAGACAACTTTAGTACGACTGGCATTGAGACAACGTGTGCATCAAACATGCTGAAAGGTGATCAGCTCAGAGCATGAATAGTTGTTTTTTTTTTTTAAAGATTTATTTTATTGATTTGAAAGACAGAGTTACAGAGAGATGTAGAGACAGAGAGAGAGGTCTTCCATCCGATGGTTTACTCCCCAAATGGCCACAACGCTGGAGCTGCACCAATCCGAAGTCAGGAGCCAAGAGCTTCTTCTGGGTCTCCCACATGGGTGCAGGGGCCCAAGCACTTGGGCCATCCTCCACTGCTTTCCCAGGCCACAGCAGAGAGCTGGATCAGAAGAGGAGCAGCGGGACTAGAACTGGTGCCCATATGGGATGCTGGCACTTCAGGCCAGGGCTTTAACCCACTGTGCCATGGCACTGGCCCCATGAATAGCTTTCTAAAAATAGGCATTTTTCAGTTTAAGTTAAAAATACCAAAGCATGAAGATCATCTCAGACTAGTTTTATCTTTGAAGGAAATATTTAGGATGGAATATCACCTTTTTACTGTTTGCTCTTTCAAAATCAGCATTATCAGAGCCAGCATTGTGGTGCAGTGGATTAAACCACTGCCGCAACGTTGGCATCCCACATGAGCACCGACTCGAGTGCCCACTGCTCCACTTCTGATCCAGCTCCCTGCTAATGTGCCTGAAAAGGCAGCAGAAGACGGCCCAAGTGCTCGGGCCCATGCCACCATGTGGGAAACCCGGATGGAATTCCAGGCTCCTGGCTCTGATTGATCCAGCCCTCGCTGTTGCAGCCATTTGGAGAATGAACCACTGGACTGAAGATCTCTCTCTCTCCTTCTGTACCTCACTCTTTCTGCCTGTAACTCAGCCTTTCAAATAAACAAATAAATCTTTTTTAAAAAATCAGGTTTATGGGGGCTGGCACTGTGGTGCAGCAGAATAAAGCCCAAGCCTGCAGTGCCAGCATCCCATATGGGTACCAGTTCAAGACCCAGCTGCTCCTCTTCCGATCTAGCTCTCTGCTATGGCCTGGGAATGCAGTAGATGGCCCAAGTCCTTGGGCCCCTGTACCCATGTGGGAGACCCGGAAGAAGCTCCTGGCTCCTGCTTTCAGATAAGCTCCAAAAGCTGATCACCCACTCTTGTGGGTGATGTGAGGCTTCATTAGCACCTGTTCCCCAGTTACTTTTTATTTCCCAACACTTCCATCTTTCATAGCACTGTGTAGTGATGCTTTACAGACAGTCGATCAAAAGGAAGCATGGTTATCAAGATATCTGATAGGAGGAAAAACGGATGGAAAACAAATTATTCAGATTACTACACACAGTGGTACTCCATGATGAATATGTCCTGGGTTCCTCTAGTAGCTGAACCATTGTTAGTTGCTTTGGAAAATCCACTACAGCTCATCAATGGGTAGAGGATATTTTTTAGAATATATAAAGAAAATCTGAGAAGAATACGTCAAGTGCAGTGAACAAAATGAGGGTTTTGAATTAGTTTCAAATTAACTGGATATATTTCTGACCATCAGGTAATATTTTGTAGTACTGGTAAAGTCAGTGTTTAAATTATAAGACAGTGAATGTGCAGACTATTTTTTGGAAAACAAAAACAGCAGTAGAAAAATCAACTTCTGAAAAGAAGTACAACCTGTTCAAATTAGGAATAATTAACACATCAATATGAAATGCTTGGTGGCATTTTAAAATCTTGTTTCTTGCATATGACTTACATAGTCACTGTTTTCTCTGCTATAATAAGAATAGCAATTTTTTTTTTTAGGTTATGTACCACCTTATAATGCCACAGTGGTCCAGAAGTTGTTGGATCAGGGAGCTCTACTGATGGGAAAAACAAATTTAGATGAGTTTGCTATGGGGTAAGTAACATGGGAATTTTCTTCCCCTTTCTTTTTTCTATCTGCGCCTTTAATTTCACTGAATGGAGGGACCTAAAAGCAATGAGGTGATCTCTGATGATGCGGATGTCAGCTTCTTAATCCTTCTGATCTCATTTTCATTTTAGTCCTTGTTTCCCCGGGACCAGTGGTGTTAAGCACTTTTCATGTGTTTATTTTGCCATTCATTTATCTTTTTCATGAAGTGTTCAAATCTTTTGCCTTATTTTTTTAAAAGATTTTCTTTATTTGAGAGGCAGAGTTATAGAGAGAGACAGAGGAAGAGAGAAAGGTCTCTCATCTGCAGATTTACTCCCTAGATGGCCGCCACGGCCAGAGCTGGGCCGATCTAAAGCCAGAAATGGGAGACCCAGATGGAGTGACAGGCTCCCGGCTTCAGCCTGGCCCAGCCCTGGCCATTGAGGGCATTTGGGGAGTGAAACAGTGGATGGAAGATTTTTCTCTTTCTCTCTCTCTCTCTAATTCTGCCTTTCAAATAAATAAATAAATCTTTACATATATATGTGTGTGTGTATATATGAAAAAGATGACAGAATTGCAAGTACATGAAAAAATGATTAATAGCATAATCATTAGGGAAATGCAAATTAAAACCACAGTGAGATAGATATGCCTATTAGAATGGCTTAACAAAAATGACAGTATCAAGTACTAACTAGGTTGTGGAGCAATTGGATTTTTCATAAATTGCTAGTAGGGAATGCAGAATGGAAAATAATTCAGTAATTTGTTAACACCATATGACCCGACAGTCTCAATCCTAGGCTTTTCCCAAGAGATAAAGGTTTCTGTCTCCACAAAACACTGGCTAGGACTTTTCAGCACAGGGTCTACAGTGGATCTATTCAGTGGGTCTATACAGTGCCCTACACTGGGAATAACTCAGTGTCTACTGACTGGTAAAGGATTTTCAAAAATCAGCTGAAGAAATAATGAGTACTAAACATAATGCCTAACTCGATTTGATCCTGGAAGGGGAAAAAATGCTATAATGTACATTACTGTATCAACCAACAAAACTGGGAGTAGATGTACTAGATTAGATAAGGTAGATTGGTGTTAGTTTTCTTGAGCTTGATAACCGTATTATGACTGCTAACAGAATAGCCTTATTCTTGGGAAATATATACCAAATTATTTAGAGGCAAATTGCCATGACATATATAATTTACCCTTTAGTGGTTTAGGAAAAAAAAAGTGTATATATGTGTATATCAACACACCCACGCGCATACACATAGAACATGCAAACAATAAAGCAAATGGGATACAATTTTAACAACAGGTGCAGCTAGGTAAAGGGTATAAAGTGTTTTACATAGTTTTTGAATTTGCAGTCTAAGAATAAAATTATTTCCAAGTAATTAAAAATAAGTTATTAGCTTTCCACTTAGAATGCTTTTCTTAAAAGTTCCAATTAAGGGAGAGAATCCTTCCAAAGCCATCCTAACAGGCTAAACTTAGAGTAGAAATTATCTTTGGCCAGTTGAACTGGAGATTCAGGTGGGATACAATCTTTTCTTCCCAGCCTAGTTTTCTCTATTGGCTATCACAGATGTTTTTCCCATCTCCTACCTCCCCAGCTGTCTTCATTACATAAAACTACATCGGAGCAGGTTTCGTGCATGTTCCAGGTCCAGCTGCAGTTTAGAGCATTAAAGCTCAACAAGTGTCAGAAGAAAATAACATGAGCACACTGAGAAGAATTTCACATAACGTAAGCGGTTTCCCCGGGTATCTCACTTCTCTTCTTCATCTCAGATCTGGAAGCACAGATGGAGTGTTTGGGCCGGTTAAAAACCCCTGGAGTTATTCAAAACAATATAGAGAAAAGAGGAAGCAGAAGCCCCGCGATGAGAATGATTCTGATTGGCTCATAACTGGAGGAAGCTCTGGGGGCAGCGCGGCTGCCGTATCAGCATTCACATGCTTTGCGTAAGAGGTTTTTTTTTTTTCTATTTGTACTTTAAAACTCATCCAACAACAAATAGTCATGAACTGTATGGAAAATCCAACAATAGACTAGTGCAAACCTTGGTGTTTTTCTATTTCATGAGCTATTTGTCCTCAAAGATATATCAAGACTGTGTCTTATAAATGCACTCAACTGTACAGCACATTATGTGTAATTTGTACATTGAACTTGAATTTAAAATATTTAAACTTTTCTTTATATTATCCCATTCTCTTAAAAAGATGGTTTTTATGCCTCTTGAAGAATGAAGCATTGAGTAGAAAAGGACTTCCCTGAATTTCGTTTTTAAATAATTTATTCACTTCTGCTGATTATACACATACCTGTATTGGGACCAACATTGCATGGCTATCGTTGAATGCTTCAAAGCTAAACTGTTAGTAATAGTCTATTCTTCAGCTAAATCTGACTTTGCCAAGAAAACAAAGTCTGGGGGTGGAGTAGAGAAGAAAAGGGAAAAATGTTCCTAATGAATGTTTAAAATAGTGTTTCCATAAATCTGCAATTAAAAATGTTTATCAGTAAACAATGCTGTTTTTAAGCTTGTTAGGGATTGACTGGTTGTTATTCTTTGTATTTGGTAGGAATTCACTTATCATACTTGAAGTCCCATTTATAAAGCATTTCTTGAACACCTAAAGAAGAATAAGTAAATATGGATGTTATATTTATCAGTCTCAATTTAACCAAATTGGATGTGTTTCTTCAGTAATGCTCTATGTATTTTATCTCCTTAATTATCCACTAAAAGCAAGCTCTTTCACAAGCGTTGCAACTAATGAATTATTTATAGTTTTTCAAGCTATGGAGATTTAGGTTCTTCAGATTTTTTTTTTTTTTTAGTTTTCCTGAAATCTTGTTAACAAGTAAAACCATTTCATTTTATCTCTGTGGAATTTTATAGCACTGCATTAATATTAATGAGGTTCTGACAAGCTAGGACTGCAGGACTAGGTGCTGTTTTTTTCTAACTCATCCCACTTAGTGTTCATCTTTCTGAATGTGCTCTAAGAAGATGGCATTTTGACACATAATTCCTATGGAAATGCAGGTTTCACTTCTACACAGCCGTCAGTGAATGCTAATAAGTAGATGTATCTTTTAAAATTGTGAAAGCAGCAGTCTGATTCTGCAGCTTAAATGCACTTGGTAAGAAAGGAAAGAGAATTAGCATTTTCTGTGGAGCCCAAATGCCATGTGATCGTTAGGAGCTCCACTTTAAATACAATCAACAGAAGCACAGATTGAACATAACTTCAGATTGGATGCATCCCAAACTGTAAACCATCCTGCTTCTGTTTCCTCACTTTTGACTTGTTTCTTTTATAATAGTTTTTAAAACAAGAAGATATTTGAAATACTATGCAGCCACTAAAAAGAATGAGATAGAGCACTATGTAGTAACGTGGATAGATTGTCCAAGGTACATTGTGAAGTGATAACAGTTGCAGAACACTATATAGTATGACCCATTTCTGTTAACAATAGTAATTACATATATATGTCATTGTATGCAAGTGTCTGGGTGAATATATATCAAAATTAATAATAGGAGTATATGTGAAGGCTGTTAAGAGAAACATTGTGTTATGCATATACATCATGTAGTTATATACTTTAATTTTTGCAGTAGGCATGTACTACTTTTCTAATCAGGAAAACCTTTTTGTTTCCTCTGAAATAGCTTTTAATTAAAAAATTTTACTATTTGAGAGCGAGCGAGCTCCAGTCCACTAGTTTACTCCCCAAATACCTGCAGTGTTGGGGGTAGAGGCAGGGCAGGTTGCAGAGCCAGGAGCTGGAAACTCTATCAGGTATCCCATCTGGGCAGCAGGAACTCAGTTATGTAAGCCATCACCTCTGCCCCTCAGGGTCTGCATTAGCAGGAAGCTAGAAGTGGGAGCACAGCCCAGTATTAGACCCAGGGTGCCTCCAGTGACGGAGGTGGGCTTTTTTTTTTTTGAAAGAGTTAGAGAGAGAGGTCTTCCATCTGCTGGTTCACTCCCCAGATGGCCACAATGCTGGAGCTGCACTGACCCAAAGCCAGGAGCCAGGAGCTTCCTCCTGGTCCCCTGTGTGGGTGTAGGGGCCCAAGGACCTGGGCCATCTTCTACTGCTTTCCCAGGCCATAGAGAGCTGGATCGGAAGAGTAGCCGGGACTAAAACCAGCGCCCATTTGGGATGCTGGCGCTTCTGGCCAGGGCTTTAACTCGCTGCACCACAGCACCGGCACCGATGTGGGCATCTTAACCAGCATCTTAACTGTTAGACTGAACATGGACCATAAATTTTATTTTCAATTAGTAATTTATAATGCACATAACATAAAAGTGTCCGTGTTCACCATTCTTAAGTGTACAGTTCAGTAATGTTAAGTACATTGTTGTACAACCGATCTCCCGAACTTTTTCCATCTTGCAGAACTGAAACTCTATACCATTCAACAGTAACTCTCCATTTTCTCCTCCTCTCAGCCTCTGGTAGGCCCCCTTCTACTCTGTCTCTGAATTCCATCACTCTATGGAGGTCACTAAGTGGAATGATACAGTATCTCTTTTGTGATTAGCTTACTTAGCATAATGTCCTCAAGTTTAGTTTTCTTGTCTGTTCAAATAAGAAAAGCCATTCTCTGTAGGTAACTGTGTAAAGAAATGAACATATTCTTCATAGTTGGGTAATGCAAATACATACAAATATGAGAAGTTATTAAAATGCATTTTAACAAAGATTTATTATAAAATTTTAAAAAGATTTTCAACTGTGTGTACTCAGTGATAGTACTGAAACATTAAAGCAAAATCTGAAGGAGCTGGTATTTAGCCCAGTGGTTAAGACACCTGCATCCCACATCAGGGTTTGATATCCAGCTCTGGCCATTGACTCCAGCTTTGTGCCAGTGAGACTTTGGGAGGACTCAGTGGTAATGGCCCAAATAATTAGGTTCTTCCAGCCTACCTACATGGGAGACCTCGAATGAGTTCCTGGCTACTGGCCTGGGCCTCAGCCCAGCCCTGGCCATTGCTGGTGTTTGGGAAATAGCTACCTGATGGGAGATCTCTGTCTCTCTTTTTCTTTGCCTCTCAAATATGTTTTTAAAAACAATCTGATTCACTACAATTGGGAATATAAATTGGCATAATATTTGTGACAAGTAATTTGACAACATATCTTTTTTTTAAGATTTATTTATTTTCAAAGTCAGAGTTATGGGGAAAGGGGGAGAGAGAGAGAGAGATCTTTCATCTTCTGGTTCATTCCCCAAATGGCTGCAACAGCCCAGGCTGGTCCAGGCTGAAGCCAGGAACCAGGGGTTTCTTCCAGGTCTCCCATGTAAGTACAGGGGCCCAAGTACTTGGCCATCTACTGCTTTCCCAGCCACATTAGCAGGGAGCTGGATTGGAAGTGGAGCAGCTGGGACTTAAACCAGTTCCTATATGGGATGCCAACATTGCAGGCAGTGGCTTAACCCATTAGACTGCAACGCTGGCCCCAACAATATATATGTTAATTCTGTTCCTTCGCAAGGAAGTTAGCCTAAAATATAATCAGCAGAGATTGATTTGTAAAGGTGTTTCTTACAAAGATATTAATTGCATGGTTCTTATTGTAATTGGGAACAATGTAGTGTTTAAGTAAATTGTAGTACCTCTATCCAATTTTAAGTCAAGCAGCAGAAAGGCTGTATCTGTTTCTGTTTGGTTTGTAGTTTGTCATTAATTTATTTTAACTAGCAAGTAAAATCAAAGGAAGCATAAGATTTGTATGTTATTGATAGAAATGGCTTATGATAGATTGTTATACTTTAAATCTTCTGTAGTTTTAACAACACAGTGAAGGTTCGTGATAAGCATTAAAGAATGGAAATTGTAGAATGATCTCAATTATAATAAAAAGTGCTTTTCAAAAACACTTGAAGTTAATATGCTAAAATATTAGTGTTTGCCTCCGGGTAGTAGAATATTTAGTTATACCTTTACACTTTTCTGTATTTTGTGAGTTCTCTGAGATGAGCATGTGTTACACTACTTTTGTATAATCTGGCCTAAATATGCTTTATTTTTATTTATTTATTTATTTATTTATTTATTTATGTATGTTTTGACAGGCAGAGTGGACAGTGAGAGAGAGAGACAGAGAGAAAGGTCTTCCTTTGCCATTGGTTCACCCTCCAATGGCCGCCGCGACCGGCGCAGTACGGCCGGCGCACCGTGCTGATCTGATGGCAGGAGCCAGGTGATTATCCTGGTCTCCCATGGGGTGCAGGGCCCAAGTACTTGGGCCATCCTCCACTGCACTCCCAGGCCACAGCAGAGAGCTGGCCTGGAAGAGGGGCAACCGAGACAGAATCCGGCACCCCGACCGGGACTAGAACCCGGTGTGCCGACCGGGACTAGAACCCAGTGTGCCAGCGCCGCAAGGCAGAGGATTAGCCCAGTGAGCCGCGGCACTGGCCCCTAAATATGCTTTAAAAACATAACATTTTAGGGGCCGGCGCTGTGGCATAGTGGGCTAAGCCTCCACCTGCAGTGTCAGCATCCCATATGGACGCTGGTTCTAGTCCCAGCTGCTACTCCTCAATCCAGCTCTCTGCTATGGCCTGGGAAAGCAGTGGAGGATGGCCCAAGTCCTTGGGCCCCTGTACCTGCATGGGAGACCTGGAAGAAGCTCCTGGCTTCAGATAGCACAGCTCTGGCTATTGCCATCATTTGGGCAGTGAGCCAGTGGATGGAAGACCTTTCTCTCTGTCTCTCCCTCTCTCTGTCTATAACTCTACCTCTAGAATAAAAATAAACTAAAAAAAATAACATTTTAAAAAGTAGATTCTGGTTGTGAGTATTGTTTTTTTTTGTTTGTTTGTTTTTTGTTTTTTTACAGGCAGAGTGGACAGTGAGAGAGAGAGAGAGAAAGGTCTTCCTTTTGCCGTTGGTTCACCCTCCAATCAGCAGCCGGAGCGCTGATCCAAAGGCAGGAGCCAGGTACTTATCCTGGTCTCCCATGGGGTGCAGGGCCCAAGGACTTGGGCCATCCTCCACTGCACTCCCGGGCCACAGCAGAGAGCTGGCCTGGAAGAGGGGCAACCGGGACAGAATCTGGCGCCCCGACCGGGACTAGAACCTGGTGTGCCGGCGCCACAAGGCGGAGGATTAGCCTAGTGAGCCGCGGCGGCGGCCTTGGTTGTGAGTATTGTTAAGCTGCTACACCTCTGCTTCCAATCCAACTTCCTCCTGATGTGCCTGGAAGGCAGCAGATAATGGCTCAAGTGCTTGGGCCCCTGCTACCCACGTGGGAGACCTGGATGGAGTTTTGGGCTCCTGGCTTTGGGCTAGCCCAGCTTTGGCTGCTGCAGGCATTCAGGGAGTGAACCAGCAGATGGCAGATCTCTCTCTCCCTCTCTCTCCCCCTATTCCCCATCATCCTGTGTTTTAAGTAAATGAGAATTAACCTTTTTTTTAAAGGTACATTCTAAGTTCAATAAGAGATATGTCATTTTTCTAAAGAGAATTCCATTTACATTCCAGAGCTTTAGGATCAGATACAGGAGGATCCACCAGAAATCCAGCTGCCCACTGTGGGCTCATTGGTTTCAAACCAAGCTACGGCTTAGTTTCTCGTCATGGTCTCATTCCCCTGGTGAATTCAATGGACGTGCCAGGAATCTTAACCAGATGTGTGGATGATACAGCAATTGTGTTGGGTATTTATGTGATTCTATATAGTTTTGAAACAGTTTCACCCTAAGACAATTATGTCTGTTACTCATCAGTATTTTTCCTTACAGGTGTATTAGCTGGACATGACCCCAAAGATTCTACCACGGTACAAGGTCCTGTAAATTCATTCTTGCTTCCCAGTTTGACAGATGTGAGCAAACTGTGTATAGGAATTCCAAAGGTAACTTCATTTTCATACCTTTCAGAAAGTTAGGCTCCCACTTGGGATGCCCCCATTCCATATTGGGGTTCTAGTTCAAGTCCCAGCTGCTCTTCTGCCATTCAGTTTCCTGCTAGTGCTAATGGGAAGGTAGCAGATAATGGCCCGAGTGCTTGGGCTCCTGCCACCCATGTGGAAGACCAGGCTGGAGTTCCTGTCTCCTGGTTTTGGCCTGGCTCAGACTTGGCTATTGGCAGCCATTTGGGGAGTGAACCAGTGAATGGAAGATATCTCTGTTTTCTCTCTCTCTTTCACTACCTTCAAATAAATAAAAATATATATTAATATTAAATTACTGACCTTTAAAATGTTTAAGTTTTAAGCCCAGCAATTTGTTAGTGTTCTAAGCCTTTCAGAAATCTTTTTAGGAGAATGTTGTTCTGCAGAATAATGAGGTTGCTGAGCCCCGGCACAGTGGGTGCTTTGGGTTGGCTACTTTTTATTGTGGGAGACTGCCCTGTGCATTGAAAGACGCTTAGCAGCAGCCCTGGCCTCTGCCCCAGGTGCCAGTGACACCACCACAGCCCACGGCCAAAACTGTCTGCAGACATTGCCAGAGGTTCCCTGGTTGGGGAAAGGAGACAGCACTTGTCCCCAAGTGAAACCGCTGACACAGAGAAGCACTGCCTTCTTTAAAGTCTTCCTTTAAGGTAATGTCGGTGCTGCCTTTAAGGAATGAGAGTACAGCTGCAGAAACAGTCCGCGTTTGGAATCCCAGAGCCTGTACTTAACTGCTAAGTAACATTAGGAAAGTGACTTCACTTCTCTGGTCTCAGAATTTCCCATTTATAACATGACGGTGGTAACAGCCACAAGTAATGGGATTCTCAAAAGCAGTAAGCAAGTGAGCCTTTGAGAAGCATCTAGCAGCAGTCCTCATACATAGTGGATATTTAATAAATATAAATTCCCTAACCAGATCTCCCAGTCACGAAGTTGTTATGCCCAGCTTACACTCCCTAGTACTGTGCCTGCCACGCCATCAGCACTGTTAGTTTGATTTTCCTAGTTAGGTACCAGCACTTTCATAATTTTTTTCACATATTGCCAAAGGTCCTGGTGTACACATTTTTATAAAACCATCTATATATAGATGTTCCAATTTCTGTATCTTAACTTTTTTCTGCAAGGAATATCTTGTACCAGAATTGTCACCTGAAGTACGCTCTCTTTGGTCCAAAGCTGCTGATCTCTTTGATTCTGAGGGAGCCAAAGTCAAAGAAGTGTCCCTGCCCCACACCTGTTACTCAATTGTCTGCTACCATGTATTGTGCACATCAGAAGTGGCATCAAATATGGCAAGATTTGATGGGCTGGAATACGGTAAGGTGGTTGTGTGGGGACTTGAATAGTTATTGGACCTTGGATATTTGAAAGGTTTAGTTGTTAGTGATGAAAATAGCTATTGCCTGAGATACTATTAGTGATTCAGAAAAGCAAATCAATGAATCATCTTGCCTTTGTCTTTTTAGCATTGTACTTTCAATGTTTATAATATCTTTTTTATGTTCATTTCACTTCTCTGGACTATGAATATTTTGAAGGTATAGTTTTACTTTCATGTGCTCAGCCCTTCTAATGAAGTGTCTGGCACATGGTAGGAGCTCAGCAAACAACTGGATGGATGAATGGGTGGGTGGGTGGATGGATGGATGGATGGATGGGGGTGTGAAGAAATGAAGTATCTTTCTTGGTTGTTTTCTTTTCTCTCTATGAGCAGTCCTTGTGACTAGTCAGTCACAAGGCAGACAAAGAAGAACCATTAAGGGCAAGTTCCCCAAATTTTAACCTTGAGAATGTGAAGCACCTGCTCATACACTCTCATGAGGGTGTTGCCGGAGGCAGCCAGACCACAGCCAACATGCCTTTGGCTACAGATTTACTACATCCGCCCAGGAAGGAGGAAAAGAAAAGGCATTAGTAAATGGCTAGTTCAAAGTCCAAAGTAGTACTTTATGGGTATTATGGATGTAAAGTGTCCAGGTTGCTACAGGATTGCCGTGGTGTGCAGACAGAGGTTCTTTGTGTGGGTTGTTCTGTGCTGGTGTGCCAGCCTACGGGAGGGAAGGCCAGGCTCACTCACAGGAGGGTGTTGTTTTAGAAGAAAGCAACACTAGTGACCCACACAACTTCCTGGGTTAGTGACTTCTCACAGAAAGCCCTATCACAGTGCAGTAATTCTAGCAAGACAAGGTAATTATACTTGATTTTATAAGGAATACAACAGCAGTCTCCTATTGTATCAGTTTTTCAATAAAGTTTTGATTCTGGGCAAAAAAACATTTAATATTGGTCACAGAAAATGTGAATTTAGGCCTACTTTTCAGGCAAAATCATACTTCATTTTCTAGCAATGTTTATCTCTTTTGTCTCCAGGTCACAGATGTGACATTGATATATCTACTGAAGCCATGTATGCCACAACCAGACGAGAAGGGTTCAATGATGTGGTGAGAGGACGAATTCTCTCGGGAAACTTTTTCTTATTAAAAGAGTAAGACAAACAGTTCTCCATTTGTGAAGCCCCCAGAGTAAAGTAGTCAAATGTCTATCAGGTCTTACCAGTCAAAATTTTTACTAATGAAACAAAATCTTTATGACCTGAATTAGAAAAGGATTTCTGTGTGGCACTTTCGGTTCCTGGTTATTCAAAAGCAAAAAATAAAAAACATTGGCATTGAAGGAAAATAATTAGTACAGTCTAAGTAGTAAGGCCTGAAAGATTTTAGACTCATTAAAATGTCCTGTGCCTATGATTGCCGCCTTAGCTCACTGCTGTTAAGAGACTGAAGCAGGGAGTTGTACCATTGTCTCTTTTTTTTTTTTTTTTTTTTGACAGGCAGAGTGGACAGTGAGAGAGAGAGACAGAGAGAGAAAGGTCTTCCTTTTGCCGCTGGTTCACCCTCCAATGGCCGCCGCTGCAGCCGGCGCACCGCGCTGATCCTGGCAGGAGCCAGGAGCCAGGTGCTTTTCCTGGTCTCCCATGGGGTGCAGGGCCCAAGCACCTGGGCCATCCTCCACTGCACTCCCTGGCCATAGCAGAGAGCTGGCCTGGAAGAGGGGCAACCGGGACAGAATCCGGCGCCCCAACCGGGACTAGAACCCGGTGTGCCGGCGCCGCAAGGTGGAGGATTAGCCTATTGAGCCACGGCGCCGGCTTGTACCATTGTCTCTTAAAAACTTAATGTGAGTCAACTTAGTTTTCCCCTGCACTGTATCTGTTGCATCAAGAAAGAAGTCGAGATTACTGTGGTCCTTGCTTAGATTGTCATCAAGGTGTGTTCATTCAATATGTTATGAAGAGGATACATCTTCACTACCACCAAGTCTTTGTGCAAGGGGACATGAGAAGTGTGGGAAAGCAAAAGTGCTGCTTGCACTGCTGCTTGTAGTGCTTCCTAGGGTTTTTTCCTCCATGCCTTCAAGGGCAGAAAGCGTTGTATTCTTTGGTGCATCATTTTATGTTTTCTTTTCCCTTCTTGAAGTTTAGGATCTATTTTACAGTAGCCATTTGAATGTTCGTATCTGCTCATTCCAACATTTCTGTCATTTCTGGATCTGTTTATATATGATTGATTTTTCCCCCTTGTTCTGGGTCATATTTTCTGATTCTTAACTTACCTAGACATTGCAGATTTTCCATTGTCACGTGCTGAGCTTTTCCTATATTCCCGCAGTGTTGAACTTTGTTGTAGGATGTAGTTACTTGGATTCTGTCAGATCCTTTTCAAGTCTTCCTTTTGTGCTTTGTTAGGATAAGTTCAAAGAATGTTTTGTTTCCAAAAATGTACTTACTTATTTATTTATTTATTTATTCGAAAGGCAGAGAGAGGGAGAGACAGAGACCTTCCATCCTCTGGTTCGTTCCCCCAGATGGCCACAACAGGTGAGGCTAAGCCAAGACAAAGCCAGGGGACCTGGGACTCCATTTGGGTCTCCCACGTGGGTAGCAGAGACCCAAGTCCTTGGGCCATCATCTGCTGCCTTCTCAAGGCATGTTAACAGAGAGCTGGATTAGAAGCAGTATAGCCAGGACTCTGTCACTCCATTTTACGGCGAAACCCTTGAGATTCTACTATATGCCACATGCAGTACCAGCTCTCCCCACTTCAGCTGCTACTTCCAGCCCCTATGAGCTCTAGGAATTGCTTGGCTGCTGCCTTTTGGTGACCCTTTCTCGAGCTTCAGAGCTTTCTTCTCACCCAGGCACAGGGATCTCTGCATGCTGAGCGCTCTCTGTGTGCTACTCCCTCTTACTCGCTACTTTACAATTTCTCACGATCTTTTTCTCCCTGAACTTCAGTTCCCTGTCTTTGTCTCCCAAACTCTGCTTAGGTCTGCTTAGGTTCCTTCTCTCTGGACTGAGCCCAAAAACTGCCTCTAGGCATTAAGCTGGAGAAATCAAGGGCCCTATTTCATTTATTCTCTTGCTCTCCAAATTCTGTCTCCTAAGCACCGTTTTGGTCTGTTGTCTGAAAACAGTTTTCATGTATTTTATCCGGTTTTCTGTTGTTTTTTCTTTTTTTTGACAGAAGTAGACAATGAGAAAGAGAGACAGAGAAAAAGGTCTTCCTTCCGCTGGCTCACCCCCAAAATGGCCGCTCCGGCCAGCGCTGTGCCAATCCAAAGGCAGGAGCCAGGTGCTTCTCCTGGTCTCCCATGCGGGTGCAGGGCCCAAGGACTTGGGCCATCCTCCACTGCTCTTTCGGGCCATAGCAGAGAGCTGGACTGGAAGAGGAGCAACCGGGACTAGAACCCAGCGCCCATATGGGATGCCGGCGCCACAGGTGGAGGATTAACCAAGTGAGCCACGGTGCCAGCCCTTCTGGTTGTTTTAAGAAGTCAAGATAACTCCCATCCCTATCACTCTATCACGTATGGAACTGGAAATTCTAATTTTGAAGCATATTTTAAGTAGGAAGAAATTTAATAGAAAACATTAGTTTTATAAAATCCAGGTTTTTAAATTGCTATTCATACAGTATTCAAATGACCAACTGCCATTACTGTTGTGTGAATTTTATGAGATGCCTGCATTCATCTCTATACATTGTGTAATCAAATGATAGTTTGAGAAATTTCTAGAGCAACTCTTCTGGGTAAGAAGCATTTCACACTTTCATTCCGTTTTAGGTAGTGCTCAGTAGGGCTGGAATTGTTACCTCCACTTCTGCAGTTTAACTGAGATTTACAACAGTTAGTTCTTTTGCCAGCCTTCTTTAACAACCTCATAAGGATCTAAGAAAGTTTGCCTGGGGACATTTGACCCATCAAGTTAAGATGCTGCTGTGACTTCTGCATCGCCTGTTAGAACGCCTGGGTTTGCGTCCTGGCTCTGCTTCTAGGTCTAGCTTCCTGCTCATGCGCACCCTGGGAAGCAGCAGATGATTACTTATGTGCTTGGGTCCTTGCCACCCACGTGGGAAACCCAGATGCAGTTTCAGGCTCCTGTCTTCACCTGGGCAAGCCCTGGCTGTTACAGGCATTTGGGGAGTGAACCAGTGGGTGGAAGATCTGTCTGTCTCCATTTCTCTTCCTTTCAAATAAATAACTGTAAAAGTAAAATAAAAATAAAAGTTTTCTTTTTCCTTGGTTTGCATCTTTAGCCATGGTTACTCCTATGTTTGGCTTTTTCCTCTTTCCCTTTTCAGTCAAGTGAGGATCTTTTCTTGAATCCCAACTTTTTCATTCCTAGGCTATGCCTAAAATACAAAACTGCAAACACTGCATGCTTTCTTCAGTGTCTTTTCCAGATTCTACCAGGAACTACTCCTGGGAGTGTTTCCTAGTATCTGATCCAGATGGCATGTTAGAATTTGGCAAAACCAGCCGGCGCCGTGGCTCAATAGGCTAATCCTCCACCTTGCGGCGCCGGCACACCGGGTTCTAGTCCCGGTCGGGGCGCCGGATTCTGTCCCGGTTGCCCCTCTTCCAGGCCAGCTCTCTGCTATGGCCAGGGAGTGCAGTGGAGGATGGCCCAGGTGCTTGGGCCCTGCACCCCATGGGAGACCAGGAAAAGCACCTGGCTCCTGGCTCCTGCCATCGGATCAGCGCGGTGCGCCGGCTGCAGCGGCGGCCATTGGAGGGTGAACCAACGGCAAAGGAAGACCTTTCTCTCTCTGTCTCTCTCTCTCACTGTCCACTCTGCCTATCAAAAAAAAAAAAAAAAAAAAAAAAAAGAATTTGGCAAAACCTCTGAGTCTTCAAAATAATTAGCTATCATCATTCTATAGATGAAATAAAGTATTATAGTAGAAAGGAGATTGGGGTGAGCCTCTGGAGATCTGCGGTCTAGTCTCCTGTTCCACTCCCTATCTCCGGAACTCTCAGAGGTCACATAATTGCTATGAACTTGATTTTCCTCACCTGCAAATGAATGTTCTGGTTTAGTGATGTTTCTGGAAGTGTTAATATTTTGTGATTACACGAGGGGACTTCAAAGAGTTCATGGAAAATGGAGTTAAAAGGTAAGTGTATTTTGGTGCAAAAAATATTTGAAATCTGTGCATGTTGAGGGATCTTCCAAAGTTCATGTGTATCATGAGAAAAACTATACAGGGATTTCAAATTCGCACCAAAGCAAACTTATCTTTTAATGAAATTTTTCCATGACCTTTTTGAAGTCCCCTATATGTGTGGAATTATATTTAATAGTGAATTCTGATCAATTTCTAGATAGTCAATCTTCTAGAATAACGTTACAGTAGGACAAAAGTCATCTGTGTGTGTTCTTAGGAATCTTAGTGATGCCTGCTCATAAAAGCCAAGAGTCCAGTGGTTCGTTAACAAGCCTCGTGAGAGAGAACTGATTCAAGGAAAAATATAAAAAGCCCTTACCAGAGCCTCTTTTTTTTTTTTTTTTTTTCCTGCAGAAACTATGAGGATTATTTCATCAAAGCACAGAAAGTGAGACGCCTCATTGCTAATGACTTTGTGAATGTTTTCAACTCCGGAGTGGATGTCTTGTTAACTCCCACCACCTTGAGAGAGGCAGTGCCGTATTTGGAGTTCATCCAAGAAGACAACAGAACGCGAAGTGCTCAGGACGATATTTTTACACAGGCTGTAAATATGGCAGGTGAGGATCCCTCAAGAACCTTCTGGCTTTCTTCCAGTTCTTAAACAGATAGCCTCGTCTTCAGCTTACGTTCTAGACAGATCGTCCGCTAAAAGAAGTAACCGGTATTCCATGATTTTTGGAGTGTGTGTGCATGTGTGTACACACTTGCCACACACACTCACATGTGTATGTTTTCCATTTTTATTTATTTTCATTTTATTTGAAAAGCAGAGAGAGAGACAGACATAGATCTCCCATCCAAAATGCTTGCAACAGCTGGGGCTGAGCCAGAGCAAAGCCAGGAGTCTGGAACTCAATCTGCGTGTTTCACATGGGTGGCAGGTACTCAAGGACCTGAGCCATCACCTGCTGCTCACAGGTGTTCACTGGCAGGAAGCCTGGGCTGGAACCCAGGTACTGCAATATGGGGTGTGGGTGTCCGGAGTGGCATCTTAAATGCTATGCCAAATGCCTACTCTCAAAAGGTATATGTTTTGAAACCTTTCAAAACTATAGGAAAGTTGAAAAAGTAGTATAATGAATACCCACACGCTCTCCTCTTGAATTCTTCTTTGTAAACTGACTGCCTCATTTACTTTCTTTTTCTCTGTCTGTCTCAATGCACACACACACTCAGTGTTTCTTGCCCAGTCGTTTGAAAGAACGTTTCAGATACCATGACACTTTACCCCAAATGCATGACCCTTCTAAGAATAAAGACATTCTTCTGCATAATTACAATCCTGTTATCACACCTAAGAAAACAATAATTCAGTAAGAATCTGAATATAATGCATATTCAGATTTTATCAGTTGTCCCAAAAATATCTTAAAGTTTTTGCTCGGGTTGGTGCTATGGTGTAACAGGTAAAGCTATACATGCTGGCATCCCATATGGACACCAGTTCATGTCCTGGCTGCTCCACTTCTGATCCAGCCCCTTGCCAATGGCCTAGGAAAGCAGCATAAGATGGCAAGTGCTTGGGCCCCTGCGCCCATATGGGAGGTCCAGATGGGATTCCTGGCTTCTGGCTTCAGCCTGTCCCAGCCATGGCTGTTGTGGCCATCTGGGGAGTGAACCAGCAAATAAAAGATCTCTAACTCTTTCAAATTAAAAAAAAAAGGTTTTGCCCTTTATATTACATTTGTTTATGATGTCTTGTTTTTATTATTATTATTTAACAGAGTTAGACAGTGAGAGAGAGAGACAGAGAAAGGTCTTCCTTCCGTTGGTTCACCCCCCAAATGGCCGCTAGTGCTGGCGCTGCGCCGATCCGAAGCCAGGAGCCAGGTGCTTCCTCCTGGTTTCCCATGTGGGTGCAGGGCCCAAGCACTTGGGCCATTCTCCACTGCACTCCCGGGCCACAGCAGAGAGCTGGACTGGAAGAGGAGCAACCGGGACAGAATCCGGCGGCCCAACCGGGACTAGAACCCGGAGTACCAGCACGACAGGTGGAGGATTAGCCTAGTGAGCCTGGCCATGATATCTTTTTAAAATCTAGAACAATCTCCCATCTCTCTTGCTTTTTTTAGAAATATATCTGGCTGATTTTGTTTTTTTGTTTTTTTTTAAAGATTTATTTATTTATTTGAAAGTTGAGTTACATACAGAGAGAGAGAGAGAGAGATCTCCCATCCACTGGTTCACTCCCCAAATGGTCACTACAGCTGAAGCTGGGCCTATCAGAAGCCAGGAATTTCTTCCAGGTCTCCCATGCAGGTACAGGGGCCCAAAGCAGTTGGGCCATCTTCTACTGCTTTCCTAGGCCATCAGTGGAGAGTTGGATGGAAAGCAGAGCAGCAGGGATTCAAACCGGCGCCCACATGGGATGCTGGTACTACAGGCGGCAGCTTTACCCATTATGCCACAGCACTGGCCTCTGACTTTGTTTCAATCATCAATTATAATGTAGGAAACTCAAGAGGAAAAGAAAAGTCTACTGTATTTACCCATGCTTTTACTTATTGTGTTCTTTTTAATCCCTTCCTTTCTATTTAGAGGAATTTTTTTAGCCACTCTTTTAGGATAGGCCTGCTGGTGACAAATTCTCTTAACCTTCCTTCAGAAATGTCTTGATTTCTGCTTTATTTTTAAAGGTGTTTTTTGTTTTCGTTTTTTGCTGGAGGTAAGATCTGGTTCAATAGTTCCTGCCTTAAGCACTTTAAAACTACTGTGCCAGGGCCGGCACCGTGGCTCATTTGGCAGGTCCTCCACCTGTGGCGCTGGCATCCCATATGGGTGCCGGGTTCTAGTCCCAGTTGCTCCTCTTCTGGTCCAGCTCTCTGCTGTGGCCCGGGAAAGCAGTGGAGGATGGCCCAGATGCTTGGGTCCCTGCACCGCATGGGAGACCGGGGGAAGCACCTGGCTCCTGGCTTCGGATTGGCTCAGTGCTGGCCGGAGCAGCCATTTTGGGGGTGAGCCAGTGGAAGGAGGACCTTTTTCTCTGTCTCTCTCTCTCACTGTCTAACTCTATTAAAAAAAAAAAAAAAAAAAAAAAAAAAAAAAAAAAAAACCTGTGCCACTTTCTTCTGTCCTGCAGTCTCTGATCAGAAATCCTCCACCTTTTAAATGTTTTCTTTTAAATGACACTGACTCTTTTTGAAGAGTCTAATCCATTTGTGCTTTACGAGGTCCACTCATGATCTGGATTTATCATATTGGTAACTTCTGATTGGATTTAGCTAAACCTTTTTGGCAGAAATCCTATGTACTCTTCCCATCAGGAAACAGTTATAGCAGCTTGTCCCACTTTGGGACACTAAGTTGATCACTTTGTTAAGGAGGTAGCTGCTATATGTTTTCTTTATCAAGATACATCATTGCTTTTGTCATTTAAAAGGAATTTATAAGTGATACGTGGATACCCGGTGAATAAGCCACTGCTCAGTAATTTTGAATCCAGTTCTAGCAGCCACTGATCATTCTGACCTGAATTAAATCACTGTCTAAAGAATTACCAAATGCCGACATCTCTAATTCTGTCATTCCTATTGGTATTAGTTAGAAGACTTCTCCAAAGAGGAGCTTTTCTCTTTGTTTCTATACGATGTATTAAAAGGAATTACTGTAATCATTATTTTTGATAGTTAAATCATGCTCAATTTGGCCAGTTGGAGCCAAATTGCATCAAGTTGTATGCATCCTCTAGACCTATCCTCATTAATTTTGGAAAACTTCCTTGTTCTTTAAAAAAAATATTTATTTATTTGAAAGTCAGAGAGAGAGGAGAGGGAGAGGAAAAGGGAGAGGGAGAGGGGGAGGGAGGTCTTCTATCTGCTGGTTCACTCCCCAGATGGCCACAATGGCCGGAGCTGCGCCGATCTAAAGCCAGGAGCCAGGAGCTTCTTCCAGGTCTCCCATGCGGGTGCAGAGGCCCAAGGACTTGGGCCATCTTCTATTGCTTTCCCAGGCCATAGCAGAGAGCTGGATTGGAAGAGGAGCAGCCGGGACTAGAACCGGCACCCATATGGGATGCCGGTGCTTCAGGCCAGGGCATTAACCCGCTGCACCACAGCGCCAGCCTCGGAAAACTTCCTTGTTCTATGGCATAACAAGAAATCTCAGGATCTTGTACTTTCTCTGTCCTGGTGCTGGAATTAAAACTACCCTGCGTTAATCGATCTAAAACCTGGAATTAAACTACTGTGCGCTAACTTCCCATTTAATAGATTAGCAAAAATTCAAAAGCCCAGCAACATGCTGTGTTGACAAACCTGTCAGAAAAGCAGCACTCTGGGCAAGCGCTGTGGCACAGTGGGTAAAGCCTCCGCCTGTGGCGCCAGCATCCTATATGGGCACCAGTTCAAGTCCTGGCTGCTCCTGGCTCCTGCCTTTGGATCGACGAAGCTTCGGCCTTTGCAACCAACTGGGGAGTGAACCAACAGATGGAAGACCTCTCTCTCTGCTCCTCCTTCTCTCTGTGTGTAACTCTTTCAGATAAATCAATAAATCTTTAAAAAAAAAAAAATCCAGCTCTCTGTTATAGCCTGGGGAAGCAGTGGAGGATGACCCAGGTGCTTAGGCCCCTACATCCACGTGGGAGACCCGGATGAAGCTCCTGGCTTTGGATCAGCCCAGCTCCAGCTGTTGCATGCATTTGGGGAGGGAACCAGCAGATGGAAGACCTTTCTGTCTGTCCTCTCTGTAACTCTACCTCTCAAAGAAATAAATAATATCTTAAAAACAAAAGAAAAGCACTCATTTTGCTGGTGAGAATTCAAAATAATATAACTATTACAGGGGAATTTGGCAATATCTAATTATAGATGTGTTGATCCTTTGATGCAGCAATCTCTCTTTATCTGACAAACTTTGAAGGATACTAAAAAACATGTACATAAGGTAATTCCTTGTGACACTGCATGACATGGTCAGATATTACAAACAACCTAAATACCGAGCCATAGAGAACTAATTGAATAAATTATTGTAAAACTTTGTCATGGAGTATTGTACAGCTATAAAAAAAGAATAAAAGTCTCTGAACTGATACAAGAGTGATTTTCAAGCTCCACTGTTAAGTGAATAAAGCATGAGACAAAAGCATATCCACAGGATAAAATTTTTTGTTGCCTTTTTAAAGCTTACATGGTCTGGGCCCTGCTGGTACTGAAAGGTAGAAGAGGTCTCTGCTTGTAACGGCGAGCTCATCCACTCACGGTTTCTTTCTTTCCCTCAGGACTGCCGGCAGTGAATATCCCAGTGGCCCTCTCACGCCAAGGGCTGCCAATAGGATTACAGTTTATTGGACCTGCATTCTGCGATCAGCAGCTTCTTACAGTTGCCAAATGGTTTGAACAACAAGTACAGTTTCCTGTTATTCAACTTGAAGAACTCATGGATGATTGTTCTTCAGTCCTTGCCAATGAAAAGTTAGCTTCTGTGTCTCTAAAACAGCAGTGATGAATACGTAATGAAATTAAAATGACTTTCAGAGATTCTCTACCCTGGAGAGTCAAATGATCTTGGCTGGGTTCTTGTAATTAGGTTCATTATCAACACAGTCATTCCCTAGAATCACTTTTTAGAATTCCTGTGATGTAGTTAATTAATTATAAATAATCTGTCAGCACTTATTAAACATCCACTAAGCGTAAAATGCAGGATCTCTATTATAACACAAGATAGCATGTTCATAACAAACAGTGCGTCCTGCAAAATGTTGATTGTAAAGAATGCTTACAGCAAAGTAACGTTAGGGATAAACTTCTCAGAAGTTGCGCATCCTGGTAACTCAAGCACCAATAGAAGCAGTAATTGTATCTCCAGAGGTAACTGGAGAGCCCAGGCAGCAGCTCATTGTGTGGTGAAGCTGCCTCAGGGGATGTTAAAGAGGCACACTAAACAATCAGGCAGGAGTAGTCCTGGCTTCCGAGGGCTGAGCAGAGCGGGCGGCAGAGGGGTTGTGTGTGCCGGTGGCAACGCCACCTGCCGGCACCTGAGTCATGCGGGTTGGGGGGTCCCCGGCTGCAGGCCCTGCTGTTGTTTATCTAAAAACAGAGCTGAAGGCCGGCGCCGCGGCTCACTAGGCTAATCCTCTGCCTTGCGGCGCCGGCACACCGGGTTCGTGCCGGGTTCTAGTCCCGGTCGGGGCGCCGGATTCTGTCCCGGTTGCCCCTCTTCCAGGCCAGCTCTCTGCTGTGGCCAGGGAGTGCAGTGGAGGATGGCCCAAGTGCTTGGGCCCTGCACCCCATGGGAGACCAGGAGAAGTACCTGGCCCCTGGCTCCTGCCATCGGATCAGCGCGGTGCGCCGGCCGCAGCGCGCCGGCCGCGGCGGCCATTGGAGGGTGAACCAACGGCAAAGGAAGACCTTTCTCTCTGTCTCTCTCTCTCACTGTCCACTCTGCCTGTCAAAAAAAAAAAAAAAAAAAAAAAAAACAAAACAAAAACAAAAACAAACAAACAAACAAAAACCCAGAGCTGAAGTGACTGAACACTTGTTTCCTTTCCTCCTCAGGGTTAAAGTTTTTACTTCTGTTCCTGCCCAGAAGCCAGAACAGTTCTCCCACTCCATTCATTCTCCCATTACCAATCACAAATGAGCTCACTGAGGTCTCACAAACATTTGTTGTAACCTAGCAGACCATACTAGACTGAAACTTGGTAGACAGTGGAGGGTGATTTTGGTGAGAATGGTTAAAAATATACAAGTAGTATACGGTATGAAAAACTTGCAGATAATTTGGTGAAGCTGCCAAAGAGAGGTAGCCCATGCAGGATCCTCTGACCCCAGATTCTCTGTTCCTTAAGCTTTCCTTACTCTCCTGATTCTTAGAAGTGTCCTCTATTTGGCCCCCCCATCCCCTTTTTTATTTGAAAGCCAGAGTTACAGAGAGGAGGAAAGAGAGATCTTCCATCTGCTAGTTCACTCCCCAAGTGACCGCAACAGTTAGGGCAGGGTCAGGCCTAGGCCAGGATCCTGGAGCTTCTTTTGGGTCTCCTACCACATGGGTGCCAGGGATCCACGCACTTGGCCCATCCTCCGCTGCGTTCCCAGACGCATTAGCAGGGAGCTGAATCAGAAGTGGAGCGGGGCCGGCACTGTGGCATAGCGGGTGAAGCCACCATCCGCATCCCATATGGGCACCAGTTCATGTCCCGGCTGCTCCACTTCCAATCCAGCTCTCTGCTGTGGCCTGGGAAAGCAGTAGAAGATGGCCCAAGTCCTTGGGCCCCAGCAGCTGCATGGGAGACCCAGAGGAAGCTGCTGGCTCCTGGTTTCAGATTGGCGCAGCTCTGGCTGTTGCGGCCATTGGAGAATGAACCAGCAGATGAAAGACTTTTCTCTCTTTCTCTCTCACGCTCTGAAATAAATAAATAAATAAATATTTAAAAAAAAAAAAAAGTGAAGCAGCTGGGTCTCCTATCGCCTCCCATATGGGATTGTGGGTGTTGCAGGCGGAGGCTTAACATGCTATTCCACAATGCTGGCCCCTATTTGGGCCCCATAAGACCGAAGAGATATTGAAGGGAGTCTGTGCTTAATATTTGACAAAATATACTGAAAGTCATACACTTCCTCACTGTGAGGATCCATCATTGGGTTTCTTTGTCATTGCTAGAAACACTTTGTCATTCTGACCAGGTGTTGCAACAGGCACTTAAAAATTGTTGATAAATGAAGCCGGCGCCGTGGCTCAATAGGCTAATCCTCCACCTTGCGGCGCCGGCACACCGGGTTCTAGTCCCGGTCGGGGCGCCGGATTCTGTCCCGGTTGCCCCTCTTCCAGGCCAGCTCTCTGCTATGGCCAGGGAGTGCAGTGGAGGATGGCCCAGGTGCTTGGGCCCTGCACCCCATGGGAGACCAGGAAAAGCACCTGGATCCTGGCTCCTGCCATCGGATCAGCGCGGTGCGCCGGCTGCAGCGGCGGCCATTGGAGGGTGAACCAACGGCAAAAGGAAGACCTTTCTCTCTCTGTCTCTCTCTCTCACTGTCCACTCTGCCTGTCAAAAAAAAAAAAAAAAAAAAAAAAAAAAATTGTTGATAAATGAAAGTAGAAAGCCAGCTTTAATAAGTTCACATTGGTTAGTAAGTAAAAATTATTTTCTAAATATGAGGTACATAAAAAAATCAGCAGGCTGGCATGTGCCACTGGAGGAATTAAAACCTGTTACCTGTTACTTTGAATTCAAATTTTTTTCTCTGCCCTGGGTTGTGCCCATTCCCAAATAATCTGATCAACTTTAAAAGCTTTATGTGAGGGCTGGCATTTGGTGCAGTGTGTTAAGCCACTTCCCGTGACCCCCAGCATCCCATATGAGCATCGGTTTGAGTCCCAGTTGCTCCACGTCTGATCCAGCTCCCAGCTAATGCACCTGGGAAAGCAGAAGATGGCCCACATACTTGGACCCCTGCCACCTACCTTGGGAGACCCAGATGGAGTTCCCAGTTCCTGGCTTTGGCCTGGACTGGCCCTCCCTGTAATTGATATATATGTCTCCATCTCAGTCTTTCTCTGTGTCTCTCTCTAGCTCTGCCTTACAAATAAATAAATCTTTAAAAAGTTTTGTTATGTGCCAGACTCACTGATGTTTGTATCAATTTTGACTGAACTCTGAAGAGAAGAAATCCTCAAGAGAATTGCATTACTTATACTAAAAGGATACCATCTTCAGTGAAGGCACTAATATGATGTACAAAGCCAACAAATAAATCTTTGCCCTGGTCTTTTTATCTATGTATAATTTGAAAGGAAGAATTTTCAAAGAATATTTGTTAACTTGTGCTTATACCTACTTGAGCTGCACTAACTGTTGGAATCTACAAATAGAGAAGTGAAAGATGTATCATTCTTACATAGTAACACCCAACTCACATGAAATGATACTTAATTTGTTTTTCTTTCTCCTCCATCTTTCTCGTCACTCTAAGAGATCACCTTTTGCCAGGTCTGCCTGGGAATGTGACCATTTCTGTGTCTCAGCTAATTAAACCTCTGAAAGTGTTAGCAACAGGGGCTTCTGAAGGGCCACAGGTGTTGATGAGCTTTTTTTTTAAAAAAAAAAGATTTATTTATTTATTTGAAATTCAGAGCTACAGATAGAGGAGAGGTGGAGAGAGAGAGAGAGAGGTCTTCCATGCGATGGTTCACTCCCCAGTTGGCCGCAACGGGCCAAGCTGCGCCCATCCGAAGCCAGGAGCCAGGAGCTTCCTCTGGGTCTCCCACACACGTGCACTTGGGCCATCTTCTACTATAACCCAGCAAGACAGTAAGCAAAAGTTAGAAACAACAACAAAAGCTTGCTGGAGTAGGGGAAAAAAGTGATGAGATCACAAAACTTGGCACCCTGACACCACACAGACCCAAAGGAGGACGCGGGGAAACCACGTCCTGTTGGCCCACACTAAGCAATACCATGAGTGTCACCTGAAAGCAGGGAGGTGCACTGTACCCTCTGGATGGCCGTGTGACACCAGGTCCCGAATAACTTACCTGTTGTGTTTAATTAGACACTGCAGACACAGTTGAGAACAGAAGAGCTTCCCTGGCTAGTTCATAACTCAAGCAGTATGTACACTAGAACGTAAACCTGAAAATTCAACAGAGGCAAATAACACGAGGGAAAACCCAGCCAACATTAAGTAACCACTACAGGATTTCAAAGAGCTTTTTTATTTCCCTTTATACCACAATGGAATATAAATCCAAAAAGGATTTTAGGCAGTTTATTAAAAATATATTATTACAATGGCATAAAAGTAAATGCCTGTGGAAATCGGTCAAGTGAAAATGAAAGAGGGGAATAAGGCTAAACCAGACTCAGATTAAAAGCAGATGCTAAGGCTAGACAGCGTGTGCACAGTGGGAAATCCCCAGTTGCCTTCCCAGTGGGGTAAGGCCACCAGCTTTAAAAATCACACAGACCTGGGTTTGAATCTATTACTGTCATTTACAAGCTGTGAAACTTGCCTAGGCTTCAGTATCCTGATCTATGAAGTAGGAACACTGTCCCTCATGGGGCGGGATTGAATTTCAGTGGTGCACTGAGAGCGCCTCGCATGAGGCCTGACGTACAAGAACGCGGTAGCTTGGAGACATAAGTAGATGCTCACAATTGTGGAGTGATTTTTCTTACACAGACCTCATGGCAGACTAACGGCATTTAGCCAATTTAATTGAATGATTGCACTAAGGACCACTTATATACCTCCTTGATGATCTGGCTTCCTCTGAAATAAAGGTGAGAATATCAGGAAGAATGGTGGGCTCTCTATTTTTGAAACAGATTTTGGGACCTCCCCTACTCTAAGAGTTTCTGATTCCCTAGGGCAGGGGAGGACCCCAAGAATTTATTTTTAAGATTTATTTATTTATTGGGAAGAATGTCAGAGGGAGAGATGGAGAAGAGATCCTCCATCTGCTGGTTCACTCCCCAAAGCGGCCACCACAGCAGGGCTGGGCCAGGCCAACCCAGGAGCCAAGAGCTCCATGCAGGTCTCTCC